TCGGTATTCACTCTTCTAAATTGAGTGCTGAAGGTTCTGCCATTGTCGTCTGGTGAGTGACGTCGATAGAGTTGATATCCATAATTTCCAATTTGTGTTTCCGAAAGAAAAGCACTTGGATAGTGTTTCGAAGTGGGATTGTGGTGTCCCCAAGGTCCATGGAACATATTGGTTTTCATCACTTCGTAAAATACTGGACAATTCTCTGCGGAATTTCCGCAGAAATGATTTCATCAATTTGATCTGGTGAAACCACCATCAACCATCCAAAGAAGAATATGTGCGTGCGGCAAACCTCTCTTTGCCACTCAACAGAGTACATCTAGCATCTAGCAGCACCACATATGCATCGCTTCAAGATAAAGTTCATTAAACAAAGTAACTGTTTGAAAAGATCGCTTGGTGATTGTCCGCGATGCATAATTCCGCATCCTAGGAGCACTTCTTGCCTTGCCTTCGGCTACCATACGCTGATGGCAAAAAGTACGCCGACCACACATAAAGTTTTCACTGAATAATTTTCAAAAATTTGTCTTTTGAATAGCCGGAATAAAAAAGCAAGCGATCGAAGTTGAACGATTGAAATAATTTACAAATCAAAATGTTGAAATACAAAACAAACAAAATTTTAACAAAAGTTTGTATGAAAAAAAGTTACTTTTTGGAATTTACGACTGTTCCTAACGAAAAACATACGGGTTTTTTATTTTTAAACCTTCCCCGATCCACAGCGAATAACCTCTGAAAATTTCATCAAGATTGGTACAGCCGTTCTCTTAGTGTTACTACGGGATATGTATGGGAAAAAGGAACAGGCTATCTTTAGGGGTTTTCCGGCAATTATTTGAAATTATCTTGCCGTAAAAACCAAACTTGAACCTCAACGAACATTTAGAAAAAAGAACCGACCAAAATTGATCCAGCCGTTGTTGAGCTATGCGCTTAGCAACACATTTTGCGATTCATTTTTATTGTTTAAGATTATTGATTTCTGGTAAGGGTGTATTTCAAAGTTGTGGTTTAAAATATAGTAAAATGTAGTTTGTATCAACAAACTGATTGGACCTTATCAGTGTGGCTTTAGACCTGGCACATCAACAACCGACAGATATTCACCATGCGCCAAATCTTGGAAAAGACCCGTGAAAGGAGGATCGACACTCACCACCTCTTCGTCGATTTCAAAGCTGCTTTCGACAACACGAAAAGGAGCCGCCTTTATGCCGCGATGTCTGAATTTGGTATCCCTGCAAAACTAATATGACTCTGTAAACTAACGTTCAGCAACACCAAAAGCTCCGCCAGAATCAGGAAGGACCCAACCGAGCCGTTCGATGCCAAACGAGGTTTCAGACAAGGCGACTCCCTATCGTGCGACTTCTTCAACCTGCTTCTGGAGAAGATAATTCGAGCTGCAGAACTAAATAGAGAAGGTACCATCTTCTACAAGAGTGTACAGCTGCTGGCACCCGCGCCGTTAGTTCAGCTATCTCCAGACTGCACAAGGAAGCAAAGCAGATGGGCCTGGCAATGAACGAAGGCTAGACGAAATATCTGCTGTCATCAAACAAACAGTCGTCGCACTCGCAACTTGGCTCTCACGGGTCTGTTGACAGTTATAACTTTGAGGTCGTAGATAATTTCGTCTATCTTGGAACCAGCGTAAACACCACCAACAATGTCAGCCTGGAAATCCAACGCAGGATAACTCTTGCCAACAGGTGCTACTTCGGACTGAGTAGGCAATTGAGAAGCAAAATCCTCTCTCGACGAAAAAAAATCATACTCTATAAGGCTTGGACGATGACAACAACTGATGAGTCGACGTTGCGAGTTTTCAAGAGAAAAGTTCTGCGAAAGATATATGGTCCTTTGCGCGTTGGCCACGGCGAATAGGCATTAAAAGACAGCGGCTACGCTGGATAGGTCATGTTATCCGGATGGACGAAAACACTCCAGCTCTGAAAGTATTCGACGCTGTAAACGCCGAGGGAAGCAGAGAAGGAGGAGGACCTCCACTCCGTTGGAAGCACCAGGTGGAGAAGGCCCTGGCTACGCTTGGAATATCCAATTGACGCCACGTAGCGGCTATAATCGCGTAAGCGGTGTCTACGCCAATTAAGAAGAAGAAGATGAAAATGTATTATTCAAGTTTTTTAATGAGTTAAAGCTCTCCGCAATACGTAGTTACATTTTTGAAATTCGTCAGTCTGGAAAGACGACAAACAAATTTCGAATCAGGTCAGATGCTCAAAAGAAATTGTTTTCAATGCCCTTAAGCATATACAGAGTTTTAAAACTATTTCCAACGTTGCACGCAAAGAAAAATTCCGAAAAACTTCAACAGAAATACACTGCAGAATTAATAATATCTCGCTAAGGGACCAAAAAGCTGTAGATACCAAAAATATCAGAAATATGGATGTCCTTTTCGATGAAATTAGGAAGGCATGGCACTAGTGGTGCGCTTTCTGAGTCTTATACTATTACAGTTTAAGTTTAACAAATGTTTCAATAAAATGAGTGAAAAAACGGTAATAATAAGGTCGAAAATAATTTAATTTACTTCAAAACAAGTCGCGTTTCTAATTAGCTGTCAACGGCTGTAGGTGCATCTCACATGACTTCGTAATTTCACCATTTCACATCCGATGCTTATGAAATTATGTCAACCTTGAAGGCGTTATTAAGAATATAAAAACGAGTGATCCAGGTACTTTCTTCAATAGCCATTTTTTGGTAGATCACGCGTGAGTTGTCTCTAGTTGTCATGTTTTTTTGTTCAGTATTGTTTGGAATTGCATCATTGAACGACTTACGCCTGAACAACGTTAACAAACCGTTCAACTTTATTACGAAAATTCACGTTCAGTAAAGATTGTGTTTCGCGCGCTTCGTTCAACACAATGGGCCTACTGAGCACACTATTCACAACACCATCATTCATCTTGAGGCCCAGCATTCATTATTGGATGATATTCGAAGGAACAGACCACGTCCAGCACGAAGTGAAGAAAATATGGCAGCCGTAGCTGAGCGTGTACACCAACCGTAATATAAAATGCAACTTGTACTACAAATGAAGCCGCTCGACATTCCCCAGCGACATCACTTCGCTCTATGAGCTCTTGAAAAGTTTCAAGAAGATCCGATGTTTTCAAGCCATATTTAGTTCAGCTTATTTCTGGGCATGTAAACAAGCAAACTTGCTGCATTTCCATCCAACCGGAAGAGACTCAAGATCAGAGTTTTCATCCAGAAAAACAACGGTTGGTGCGGTTAGTGGGCCGGTGGATTCATCGGTCCATATTTCTTCAAAAAAGATGCCGATAAGAACGTAACCGAAAATGGAGACTGTTATCGCGCAATGATAACCGGCTGAAATTGAAACTCGTGATCTCGGCGGCAGGTGGTTTCAACAAGAGAGCGCATTTCCCACGGATCGCATCAATCAATGGATTTATTGAGACAACAGGGGTGTTGCGGAATCCAAGACAGAATTGTTTAGCTATCAGAATTGCAAACAAATTCTGATTTTCAATGGCGTCACTGAATCTTTTCGAACATACGCAAAACCTGTATTCGAATCAGCTGTGTACTAATGTGACAAAACTTGCAAATGAATACATTTGGAAGCAATTATATTCAAGTTTTTAATGAGTTCCGAATTAAAGAAAGATTTTAAGAGATAACATTTATCAAATGAGTAAAAACGCTTTTGGGTGTTAAATTACGTTTTGTAAATCTAATATCTTTAAATATCCGGTATTTTTCCAAAAACTAAATAATTTAGACCTTTCGTATTATATACTTATGTTTTAGAAATAAAGATAAAATAATTCGAAATAATAAAATAACTTGATTCTTAATTTACATTTCAAATCTGTGAGTGACTATCTTCACGCTTTGTTTCTGATAGCAAAACCGATAAAATTGGTTTCCATGAATCCCAAAACCAATACAAATTCTGCTTCGAATATCAAACCAATAATATTTGAATTCATGACACCTACTCCTTTTTTTGATCGGTTTCAATTCTGATTCCGACAACTATCAGATTCCACAACACCACCAACCGAAACAATACAACACTGAATATTTCGGTTACCAGATAATTTCACGTTTCGGCCGGTTAGTTGGCCTTCAGGATCGTATGAAATCACACCATTAGCCTTTTTCTGTGGGGATATGTAAAGTCTAAAACCTATGCGGGCGATCCCGCTTCGATACAGGCTTTGGAGCAAAACATCACACGAGTCATTCGCCAGTTACCAGACGAAATGCTCGAAAAAGTCATCGAAAATTTTACACAACGGATGGACTATCTGAGACTTAGCCACCGCCTACATTTGAAAAAGATAATCTTTATAAAATAAATGTAAAAAAGTATTTGTTTCAAATGCTAATAAACATTCCCCCATCAATTTTGAAGTTTCTGTGGAAGTAGGGAACCTCGAATTGGATCACCATATATATAGAGCTATAGGATGGATCCTTCTTTGACAGTGCTCTTGATAGAAAAAAAATGTTAAAAATGGTGCTTGTGTTTTTGCTTCCCGAATGTTATATTACAGAACGCTGGCTATTTGGTTCAGCTTCTCTCCCAAATTATTGATTGGGAATGAAGTTTCTACATACTACTTAACTATCGGCTTTAACATTAAGCTTTTAACTATTCTTATTTCCTATTTCAACAAAAGCTATTTAAAATTTATAAATTTAGACTCAGCAGTTTTTAATTAAAAAAAAAAAAACAAAAAAAAATTAAAGCAATACAAGAATTAACGTAAATCCTTAATACCCTACACAAATACAAAAGATTCCAAACGAGAACTTAATTTTGATCAGTTTCTATGGCAACTATATGCGGTGGATAGTGGAACCTAACTTCCTTCTAGGATCGATATTTTGGATAACCTAATTTCATTGGTAAATATACCAATATTTATAGCTAACTTTTTCGGTACTGCTTTCCTTTAATTAAATAAAGTTCAACTTACATTCAAGAAATCGCGCAGCCATACAACTTCGGGCTTTGGTTCGCCGACAACCTCACAGAATATTATTACTGTGTCACCTTCATAGGCCTCACTAGAACGTGGTTTGACAACAAACATGGGTTCCTTGGAGTACCTGAAATTTTAGAAATTTAATCAAGAATATTTCGTATTTATGTTATATTACGGATCTTACGGTAAATCACTTTTTAGAATAGCCGGTATCTGGCTGCTACTGCATTGCTTTTGCTGTTGCTGATCTTCATCGAGCTCTTCTATCACCACGCGACAGCTACTTTCTACTTTGCCAACAGCATTTGAAGCGACACAAACATAAATGCCAGCGTCGTGTATGGTTGCGTCGGCAATAATTAATTCAACAAAGCCGTTAGAATCCAGAGTGCCACTTATGCGTCTGCTTGGACGCAATCGTACGCCATTACGATGCCATGAAACTCCCACGGTTGGATAGGCTTCTACTTTAGCGGCAAGGCGTATTTCTTGTCCCTCTTGATATATATACAAGGGGTCTAGCGGCATGTAAAACTCGGGCGATATGTAAGCGCGTATACCTTTATCGACGACAAGCGAACAGTGGCATGATACCGAACCAAGTTCATTTTTAGCCGTGCAAGTATAAATTCCACTATCATCTAGCACGGTGCTAGCCAATTCCAGTGTATGAAACTGACCATCGCTCGTGATAAGACAACGACGATTCTCTACAATTTGCTGGTCGTCTTTGTACCACATAATTTCTGGGCTTGGATGACCCATAACCTGGCAAGTCAAACGCACAGGATAGGTCATTTGCACCCGTCGATCTCGCAAGCGCATCGTGAATATTGGTAAAGTGTCACCAGCATGAGCAACATCGGCGGAATGAACAATTTGCTTCAGTTTAGTATCGGCTTCATATAGTCGAGGATCGGTGACGATTTGTAAGCGCGCAAAAGTCGATACTCTGCCTTTGGAGTTAGTTGCTTCGCAAGTATAACGACCTGCATCCAACTCAGAAACTGGAGCAATGATCAGCGTGCAAGTTGAACCAATTTGACGAATTCTGATACGTTCGGCTAATGAACTAATATGCATGCCATCCTTATACCAGTCTATTTGTGGTCGTGGCGCGCCACGCACGGTACATTCGAATATAAGTTGTGTGCCAAGTAAAGCCTTCAACTGGCCAGGTAGTATTTTAACGAACTCGGGCAAGCATTCAGCGCCTCCCACCTGCAGTGGACTACTTGTCTGCACCGATGGACCCCAACCGTAACGATTTTTCGGCGTTACGCGGAAGTGATATTCAACAGTGGGCTTCAAATTAAAGGCATCAAACGAATTTATAGGTGTCAGACCCAATTCCTTCCACATAGCACCACCTTCGTGGCCAACAACCCAAGCATCAATGCGATAGGCAATAACGGGCGCAGAATTGTCTCGCGCTGGCTTACCCCACGAGAGGGAGATGTGTGAGGGTCCGGAATCGACAAGCAAAGGTTCCGTGGAGATCGGACCTGGAGGATCTACGCCAAGTTGAAATAAAGAAAGTTGATAAATGCTTAAAAGTCATGTTACCTGAAAAAAGGACGGTGGTGATGACCTATCGACCAAGCGACGTAAAATTGAAATCAACTTGAAACCTAGGAAATCTTTTCGAGCTCAATAAAACACCATGCAACTCCCCGGAGAAACATTTTTATTTATTATTTATATATATATATATATTTTTTTTGTATCCAAATGTATAAGCTGGATATGATGTAAGCCATTTAAAATAAATTGATCACATTGAACAGGAAACGCATAAAAATATTGTAATACAATCGTATTAAACTAATTGTAAAAATAGAAGATCAATTTATCGACCAGGAATACCAAAGAAATTTAAATACACTGTTATGAAATTATAAATTTTCAAAAAGTTTGAACTTTAAAGCATTGTAAACAAATTCAAATCCATACAGCGCTTTTCAAAAATCTGCAAAAAACGTCAAAAGTTGGAGAAGAAGTTAAGAGAAAGTATAAAACTCGAGAACTTATACAGTAATTCGAACACCGAAGTTGAGGGAACAAAACATCGACAATTGATATGTAAGACGAACAAAATGATTTACTAGATCACGATCACCACCACAGGGAATACAGTTACGTATATATAAAATCCAATTTGAAAACTCACCTCTGAAATAAGAAATGTCAGGGAAACTTTCGAGTCGCTGCCCCCAGCGTGGCGATGTTGGTGTTTCGGAGCGTGCGCGTGGCATTACCTATTTTTTTAAATGGTGTACACACACACGGACATAAAAAAGATCAGGAAATCATAACAATCACTCACAGAACAAAAATTTGGGAAAATCGCATAAAATAAACAAACAGCACGAAATACGCTACAACAAAATATAAAACAAATATAGCATCTCCATATTTAGAAGACTTAGTACTCAAGCAAAGCTTATTTGCTAGCGCTACTTTCTTTCCGTTTGGGAGCCTTAACCTACAATAAAAAAGTTAAGAAAGCGAGTAGCGGTTAGTGCTTGAAAAACTTATTTGATGGGAAGAGCAAGGCATAGCTAATGACGAACAATGAATCACTTGCATACTTTCCAAAGTCCACTATTTCTTTCAGTTTGGTCCATGTCAGAGTTGATAAATATGGAGAGGTTCAAAAATATTGTAACTAGTTTGCTCTTGCTCTTCGGGGTTCTCATAGTGATTAGTTTATTAAAAACTTTTTAACAAAAAAAAGCATTCGCTTGTAAGAGGATTTTTAATATTTTGCGACTTACCGCAACGGTTACAAATACACGATCTGTGCCGAAGTTATTACGCGCAACGACGAAGTAAGTACCCGAGTCAGCGATTTGTGAGCTTTGCACCGTGAATCTGGTGTAATCATCCGACACTTCCTTACTGACTCTATCAGATTTGGTAATATCTTTGGTGCCTTTCAAGAAGGTCACTGAAAAGACACAAGATAAATAACTAAATCAATTCAATTAAATATTATACGACTTCAGACACTCACATTTAGGTTTCGGTTCGCCCGCAATACGGAACGAAATGGAGAATGGATCGCCTACTAATATTTTCATGTCGGGCTCTGGTCGCGATAAGAAGAGCGGTGGCCGTTCGTTTTTCGGGGCACCGGCAGCAACATCGACACTTACGTGCGATTCAATGCGTCCGAAAGCATTCGAAGCGCGGCATGTGTAAGTGCCCTCTACTTCGGGTTGTGCATTCAATATGGCTAATGTGTAAACACCACCTTCCATGAAGGTTTTTATGCCTGGTTGGCCGGCGACAGTTTGACGATTGCGTAACCATTGTACTTCCAATGGCGTAGACGATTTCATGAATTCTGCAGAAATAGCAACCGTTCCGCCGGGACTCACTGTTTGGTTGCTCAACGGCACCACAAAGTGTGGCTTATTGGGATCACGGTGGAAGTAACCGTGTGTCTTTTCAAGCGCGAACCGTTCGCGTCCCACAAAATCGACTTGGTGAGTAATTTTATTTTCTGCTGCCTCATTGCGGGCTACGCAGGCATAAAGACCGGAATCCTTTTCCGTAGGATTATTAATTATCAATTTAGTATAGCCATCAGCAGAGTTAACAATGTTATAACGGTCATCTTCGTTAAGCAGATCCGAACCCTTCATCCATTGGATATCAGGGCGAGGTTTACCGCGTACACGACAATCCAACACCAATGTATTCTCATTGATGGAGTAAGTGTCTGTTGAAAGCAATATGGGAGTTAATAAAAAGTTGTGAATGATGCGACAAGAGCAGAAGGCAATCAAACTCAGATATACTGATATTCATGAAGAATTACGGTTATTACGAATGTTCCAATATCAGAAGTAACCTTCAAGGGAAGGATTTCAAGTAGTTTCAGTTAATTATTTCAGAACAAAAGTTAAATCGTACAAACAAGTCATGCAGAAACCAGCATGACTTCCTTCTGAATTTAATTGCCACCTTCTTTTATCTGAATTGATCAGAAACAAACATAGAAACAATTAATCACCGATCACGACAAACAAAAAAATTAATTCATTTAACCCTATCACAATTCTGAAATTTTTTTAAATCCCCTAAAATCGGTAATATTAATAAATTTATAACTTTTAAACTCATTCTACCACAATGTCACACCTCTGATGGATTGTACAAAAGCAGAAGGTTGTACAGCATTCTCGTAATGTTTGTATACTCGCAGCTGTGCATGGGTGAATGTTTCACCATAGTCGTTGATGGCACGGCAAGTGTAGTTTCCGCTATCTTCAACGCTCGTTGCAGCAATATCCAAAAAGGCAGTACCATTACGAAACATGGTCAGATATTGACCGTCATTAGGGAGTGGACGATGATTCTTCAACCACTCAATACGTGTGTCCCCATCACAGACTACATTACAGCTCAGTCGTATGCTAGAACCCTCAGCTACCGTCCGATCGTGTAATAAGGTGCTGAATAATGGTTTGCTCTGTGACATCATGCCCAATGGTCGTCGCTCTCGACTGTGTTTGATAGCTTCTTCTGTAGTAAAGTGAGATGATGTTTCACCGTTACTTGTCATCGTTTCGTATGGCGTCTGTGATGAGCGTCTCATATGTGATTCGTATCCACCGTTAGTGGTAACATCCACACTCGCAGTCATCAACTGTTTAAGATCACCGGTGCGTATGGATTTACTAATAGCGTGGATGTGTTCATTAGTTTCGGCGAAGCAAGCAAAGATGCCACAGTCCGACGGGATCGGATTGCGTATTATCAGTTTGCGTATACCACCTATTTCTTCAGTGGACTTATAGCGATTGTTGGAAATACTATGATCATCGCGAAGCCACGTTACATTCGGTCGACCGTGCACTTGACAACGGAGTGTGATTTCGTTGCGATTTGCATCATAAGATTCTGAAATAAAACTCGCACATGTAATGTAAAGGATTTATTGAATTAAGTTATTGTGGACAATTACGTCTGCAAATACAGTATCCCCCGTTTAATTGATTTTTCCACTTATTTAAATCACTTGACGGTTCAAATATATAATATATGCATACAAAATATGTGTAAATTTACCCGCACAACTGAACCTAGTTAATTGGTTTCCCCACATAATTAGTAAATATTTATTCAAGGGATACTGTAAATTGTATTTTTCAAAACTACATTACTTCAGATGTTTACCTTTGATATTGTCCGCAAAACTGCTGGGCAGTTTGCCGGTTTTCTGCTCGTAGACCGTCAAATCACAGGAGCTTTCAATGGTGTTTTTGTTATTGCGCACCACACACTTGTACGTGCCCGTATCGTCGGCTCTGGCGTTGTGTATCTCCAAACTGATGGCCCCGTTGATATTATACATTTTGTGTCGTGTGTCCTTTGTCACGCGTTCCTCACCACGCAACCAATAAACTTCCTCGATATAGCCACTCACATAAAATATGAGCTGCACCTTATTGCCCTCAGCTATCGACATTGGCTTCATTGTCGTTTCAGCGGTCAATTTAAGCTTCTCATCCCTTACCTTGGACTTGAGCTGCGCACTGGTTTCACGCTCGTTTTGATGGATTGCAGCAGTCGGTTCCTGTTCTTGTATGACCTTTTGCAGAGTTCGCTTTTGGGTTAATTTTTGCACATAATCGGATATATCCAAAAATTTGCTTATCTTCATTTGTCCACTGTCATTCTCTGCATAGCATGTATATAGACCGGTATCAGCCTTAACCGGCTCTGTGATGAATAATTGTATGACACCATCGCCTAACTTCACATACTTGTACTTCTCACTGTCCAATGGCAACAAAGTATTGTCCTTTTGCCAATATATTTGAGGTTTAGGATTCCCGGATACCTTACATTCGAGTGTGATCTCATTCCGATCTTTGTGGTATGAATCTATGAAATGGTTTAACAAGGCGAACTCAAATAATAATGTTACATTAACAAGATATGAAGCTGAAACTCTGGCTTCTTTCTTATACCCTACCTAAACTCAATGCGTTAGTTGCAGCAATGTTAGTTTAAATATTTACGGATAATACACTTACATGATAGCGTACCTTTTCCTATTCGAATAAACCATTGCACGCACAGTTCCAAAAGACAAGACATAAATATCGAACATCATATTTTCGTTTTACCTTTAATGCCCACTGTGAAAACAGGTGCTACTACCTCCTCTTTACCAGTAGTGTAGACAAAAAGTTGGCAAGTGCTAACCACCTCATTTTCTGAACCCTTCACACGTAGAGTGTATTCACCTGCCTCCTCTTCGGAAACGCCTATCAAATTCAGCCATGCGATTCCATCCTGGCAAGACATTTTACTTTTGGGTCCGAAAGTAATTGGTTGCTCGCCATGGAACCATCGGGCTGTCGGCTCAGGTCCATCGATGTTAACCATCCACTTGACGTTGCTGCCAGCCTTCACAGTACGATTAGATAGGAAGTTTCTAAGGTAGAGATATTTCTTTAGATCTGGTGGTGGTGGTGCCTCACGCCTTCCACTACCCTCCTCTTCATCCTTGGCTTTCTTCTTCTTTTTCTTTTCCTCCTTATCCTCACCTTCCTTCTCTTCTTCCTCTGTTGTTGGCTTGACTGGTGGTCTGGCCTCCTTAGATGGAGAAACCGGTCGCCTACGTCTAGGCTCCACAGTCACAATATGACTAATTTCGGTTTTCCCTTCACGATTTTCCGCTTGGCAAACATATTTACCACTATCTGCCGGCACTGGATCTATAATGAACAGCTCACAAAGACCATCATCATGGTCAATTTGCTGATACTTTTCACTCGACTCGACCTTAACTCCATCCTTCACCCAAGTAACAGATGGCGTGGGTAGACCACGAACATGTACATCCAGCTGTAATTCATGAATTTTGCCATGATAGGTGTCTTTAATGTTACGTGTAAATGTGGGTGGCACATCACCAGTGCCTGGATCTGCATAAACCTCCAATTTGCAGAATGTGGAAGCTTCGCCGGTTTCATCGCGCGCCCAACACTTGTACACACCGCTATCCTCAACCGTAGCACTAGCAATTTCCAATAAACACAAACCTTCACTGTAACGACCCCTAATCTTCGGACTATTAGCGATAGGTTCAGCATTCTTAAACCACTTGACTTGTGGTTCCTTTGACTCCAAGAAACAAGAAATTTTCACTTTCGAACCTTCAGCCACAACACGATCTCTAACCGATGTAGCGAAATGTATGCCAATAACTTTTTCTCGTTTCTTAAGGCTTCCAGTTTCTGAAATAATTTCAGTTGCAGACGAAATTACTTCCTCCTCCTCTTTCTTAGCTTTTCTAGCTTTAGCCTTCGATTTTCCCTTGCCTTCTTTATCCTCTGCATCACTTCCGACGGCTTCACCTTTTGAGGGGGTTGCCTTCTCGTCCTCTGCTGTCTTTGCACGCAATAAACTCTTATCGGCATGGAATACACCATGAATATTCTCAGCGATATGAGACGCTTTACCCTCAAATAATACAGTGTGCGTAATCTCTGATTTACCAGCACTATTCTCTGCCCGCACTAAGTACTTGCCGGAATCTTTTGCATCCGGTCGATCAATAATCAACTCACAAGTGCCATCTTGATGTTGTAGTATTTGGTAGCGTCCACCATTCTTTATTTCGAAGTTATCCTTCGACCATTGCACTTGTGGTGTTGGTTGACCACGTACTCCCGTTTCCAAAACAAGTTCATTTGTGTTCAGATGATAGATTTCTAATTTTTAACAAAACAATTAATTATTATGTAAGATACTTTTTTCTAAAGATTACGAAATCATTGGCAATGAAAATTCTCATGCCACACTAATAGCAGATATATGTACATACACATATAAAGTTGTACGGCATAGGTACTTACCTTTCAGTGAGCGTGTAAACATTGGTTGCACGTCGGAACTAACCTTCGGTGAGTAAACATGCAATAAGGCCGAGGTTGTAATTTTGCAGAATTCATTCTGTGCAGTCAACGTGTAAACACCCGAGTCTTCAGCTGCAGTATTGATGAACTCTAAGCAAGCCATTCCTTCCCGACTCATATTACGGATACGTGGACCATAAGTAACATTTTGTTCATCCTTCTGCCATTTGAATGTAGCATCAGGTCCGCCCACAACTGCCTGAAATTTGACTTTGGAACCTTCGGCTACGTAGCGATTCGAAAGATTCGCAATAAAATACAATTGTTGTTTTGGTGAAGGGTCGGGCATGCGACTGCGACGCTCATATGTGCCAGCCTCGGCATCATCATCCTTCTTCTTGCTTTTTGGAGGCCGACTACCCTTCTCGACCTTCTTACCACTCGCATCTCCAGTGCCAGCTTCACTATCTGATTCGGTCATTACGCCAGATAATAAACTCGAACGTCGCGATGATTGCACAACTTCTACTACAACTGTGTGTGTAGTTTTCTGACTGCCCAATTTATTTTCAGCAATGCAAGTGTACACACCACTATCACTCGAGGTTGGCTTGTTAATGATCAGCTCACAAACGCCATCCAAATGTTCGATCTGTACACGACGATCATCGAGTACTACTGGTAGATTGTCCTTTACCCATGTAATCTTGGGGCGGGGGTTGCCGCGCACCTTCGTATCAATAATTAAATCGTTCTGGGACGAATGATATACATCTGTGGAGGCGAACAGAAATACATCAAAGCGTTGCACCGAATTCAAAATGAGACAAATAGATGCTGGCGCACAAAGAATACACAACAATATCACACACAATGCAACACTTGCCGTGAGAATGTGAAAAGTATTATTGTATGTATTTTAAGAATGAACACCTCGACCCCAATCGGTTGTTTCAATGATTTGAATAAACGACTACACAAATGTAGTTTGATAAGACAGTTCGATTCTTCACCTACAAACAAAACATGAAAAACGGCACGCGAATATTTTTCGTGAGAATGTGACTCCCGAATATGGTGAGTGATGGGGATAACATAAATCCAACACTAATCTTTGTGAATATACTCGAGTTAGTATTTGCTCTTCTCATACCTCTTAGTGGTAGAGCGAAGATCGGCTCTTGTTCGTCGCCATCTGCTTGGGCACTATACACTTTGAAGTAGCATTGCGTGTCGATTTCACTGTAATCGTTTTTGGCTACACACTTGTAAACACCCGATGCTTCGGACGTAACCTTGCTCACCTCAAGAATTGCTTTTCCTTCCTCTGAGAGATTTTTAACGGTTGGGCCAGCTACAACCCATTTGTCATCTTTCATCCAGCGGCAATTTGGGCTAGGTCCAATCACAGTACACACAAAACGTACAGTACTGCCTTCCAGAGCCATACGATCGCGTAGTTGCGTAGCGAACTTGAGTTTTTGTTTTGGTGATACCAATGGCTCGGGTGAAGCGCGGTGAACACGTTCCTTAGCTTCTGCTGCGGTCGATGTACGCTTGCGATCGGATGCAGCCTTTGACTGAAGCGCTTCTTCCATAGCTTTCTTTGCTGTTGCCTCTTTATCTTTTTGCAAACGATCACGTGCGTGGAAAATACCGCGCGCATGGAAGTGTCTATTTTTAGCAACTTCCACATGATGACTAATTTGGACTTCACCACTGGAATTAGCTGCCTTACAAATATAAGTACCACTATCCTTATCGTTTGGTTTATAAATAAGCAGTTTATATATGCCGTGCGCTTCTTCAAGCATGGTAAATTTGAAACTTGGTTTAACATCAAGTCCACCTTTCATCCAAACAACAGCTGGACGAGGTACACCATGTAGATGGCATTCAATGGTTAGTTCATCGTCACGTAAGTGATAGTACTCTGTAAACGAAATTGTTAATCCATAAACATGACCTTTATCCCTATCCCTTTAATGTGTTTTCCTTACCCTTGATCAGCTTGCAAGATGGTGGTGCTGGCTCGTCTTTGAATACCTCATAAATAGTCACATAGCATGACGACGTGACGGTGTCATTGGAATTGGCCACCGTACAAGAGTACTCGCCGGAATCTAATATCGTCGTGTTGACTACTTCCAAAGCCAATATGTTGTTGTTGTTAATAATACGATGTGTTGCATCACGCTCCAATTGTCGGCCATCTTTGAACCATTTCACTGATAACTCGGGTCCACCAACAGCACAAGAAATACGTACATTATGACCTGCTTCAACAGTACGATCTGTAAGGAAGACAATGAAGTGAGGCAAGCGAGCTTGCTCCCTTATACGTTGCCACTCAGCATCACGTTCCTTCTCGCTTTTATGAATACGCATACTGTATTTCCGCATTTGCTGCATAAACTCTTCACCCTCCTCTTCGGCGATGCGTTTCCAGCGTTCCTCGTCATAAGGATTAGGTCGTGTAAACTCTTCAGATGAATTGCTGCCACGTCGTTTCTTAGATTTCGGAAGTTCGGGTACCACATCCGCATCTTCAGCTTCCTCATCTTCATCACGAAATTCGCTACCACCTTCATCGGCGTAGTCGCCTCCATATGACTCTGTACCGGCGAAGGATTCGTCACCTGCATCCTCTTCTTCTTCATCACCCTCTTCGTCTTGCTCCTCCGTTTCATCTTCATCACCCTGTTCAGCCTCTTTTTGAGCGCGTAATGCAGCTCGTAACTCTGCTTCAATGCGCTCCTGTTCTTCCTTCTCTTTCTTTAGACGAGCTTGTCGCTCCGCAAAGGTCTCGCCCTTAGGCTTGGCAGCTGCTTTAGCTGCTTCTTCTTCTGCTGCTTTAGCCGCTTGTCTGGCCTGCTCTTCCATTTGCAAAACGAGTTTGCTCTTTTTTGGTGGTGGCTTTGGCGCAAGATCTTTTGCTTCCTGTTGCTTTTGCTGCTCCTCGAACATCTTTTTGCTTGCCTTTTGACCACCGCCTATTTCTAATTTCAAGGTCAATTTTGGGCTGGGTGATTTCTCCTTCTTTTCCTTCTTCTTGGGTGCAGCCTTCTTTTTCGTCTTTTTTACTGGCTCGTCCAAATCATCTGGCTCAATGCTCTCTTCGCGATCGGTACTAGCTCTGTCACCAGGCTCACCTTCAGTATCTGACGTAACACCAGATCCTGATGCATCCTTTTCGGCGCTTTTGCGTGGTGTGCGAGCCTTTTTACCTTTGCCTTTCTTTTTGGGCTTCACTTCTTCAATGATTTCCTCCTCCTCTTCTACCTCCTCATATTCCTCGATCAAGTATATAACCTCAACATTCGATACATCCATTACGGCAGCACGATCAATGACAGACATATCGGTCGTTATGTAACGCACAGGTTTTTGAACTTCCTCGCTCTCTGTAATATCCATAATCAATGCTCGGTCGAAAACAGCTTTGTTGCAAGTTATTTGAGTCTTAATGTCTCTGCCAAGCTCGAAAGGAGTTTTTTCTCTTTCCTCGCGTTTTAAGAAAGGAGTAATGCTGCGCCATGTCGAAGGAGTAGCACTGCGACGGTTCAAGTACAAAGAGAATGGGGTCTGACTCCTGCCGCGTATCGGGGTAGCACTGCGACCGCGCAGCGTACCGGGAGTAGGCGATTTCACTTTCCTACGTTTCTGTACCGGAACCGCTAACGTATCCTGCACGGGAGTCGACTCGGGCTCCTCAGATGCTCGCGTATCGGCTGCACCGACTTCACCTTCTGTCTCTCCCATCGTTTCGAAAACTTTTTTTTATCGATCAAGGATCAAACAAACGGTTATAAATAAATTAGCGTGTCGACGTTTGTTGAACAAACAAACAAAATATTTCGATTTATGAACAAGTTTTTAACTTTTCGAACTAGTTAACGGTTAATAAAGCTCAAAAATTATATACATATATTATTTTCGGTAATTTTCCAACGTAGCGGATCGATTGGGAGAGAGCATTCGAATCCGTTCGAATAGAAATTTTAACTATAACTAAATTAAAAGCGCCGAACAAATTTGAAAAAATTTTCGACTTTGTCGAAATTCAACGACGACAAAACACGATTAAAGACGAGAATTGTATTTGCAGCACCGATAGTGAATAGGTCGATTTCGAAGGAAAGCACCAACCAACTGCAGCACTCAAATATTGGGACCGAAAAATCGATCGATCCGTCGGCGAAGAATTTACGAATGGACTGCAACAACTGCCAATAATCTAAATTTACCCAATTGTTATAGATTCACGCGTTATTTATTTTTATTTTTCATTTGGTTTTATTCAATTGTAATTATGTAAACGGCCACTAAAGATACAAGAAGGCTATGAGGGCGCGGCTGTGAGGTGAGCGGTCGAAAAAATTGCTGCGAGGGAAGTGTTTTAACTATGGTGCGCTATTTTAAGTGAGTTATTTTCTGCCTGCGGTTGACTTGCGAAAACAGACAAGAAAACAAAACTTATCCTTCGCTGTTGCCACAATTTCTAAGACACTATACGAGTCTCCTCGATGATTACACTAGCACTAAAATTCGAAATTCAAATCAATTGATTTGATTATGCGGTTAAAAAAAAGAAGCCAACCGAACAAATCACAACGACATGGCAGCGATAGCAGCAGCAGCGGTATTTTTGCGGCATTGAATCATGCCACGTGAAGTCGTTACTTCCCGATCATTTTCAAATTTATTCTACCATGTGACTATTATTTCGAATGGTTAGCGATAGTCACTGTTTAAATATAATATGTATATAATTTTATTTCAGTCACACAAATAATCACGAGACAACAAATAAATACTCACAATCAGTTCATTTACCTGGTACCCAAAATCCAGCAGTTCCCCAATAAAGTGCAATTCAGTTATTCAAGCATAAATAAACATATTAGTTTTATCAGAACGGACCATAGAAAGTTTTAAAGACAAAGTCATTCTTTTGAAGCTTACGAGAGTCCATGGATAAAACTGACATATTTTATCGGCATTGTAAACATTCCCGAATTAGTTAATTCTTTAAATTGTTAGATACAGAAGCAGCCAACTGAATTCATTAGCCAATAAGAAACCACATCAGGCAACGCAAATACCTGATTTCTTGTGCACTCTAGTCAATCGATCGACTGCAACGAAAACGTGTAGCGCACCCAATTTTCGTTAGAATCGTCAATTCAGAGATATTAATACATTTGTTAATATTCGTTGTAACACTCAAATAGTTTTTAAATCAAAACAAGTAAAGGTGCCTGCAATCTAGACGCTTAAAGCCGAGCCGAGCACAAAGCTGACGAATGCGAGTAATCAGCTTCAAAACTGTGCGCGAGATTGGAAGCTTATCGAAACCGAGCGTAAAGCTGATCAATGCGAGAAAATAGCTTTGAAGCTTTTTTTCGACGCCGGTTCGCGTGCTGCATTCAAAGTTCATTTCTATATTAGATTGGTGATCTTAAATCTTGATACAATTAATTATCATGAATGTGGTGAAACAGTCTTAGAATAATCACTATTAATACGACATTTTCAAAGCAAAATTTAATATGGGAATTCCCTAATACAACGGCAAATATTAAATAAGTCACAAAACATTTTTTAATTAATAACATTTCTAATTTCGGGTGTAGCCGAACATTTTATACTCTGGCAACTTACAATGACTTTCAGGTGTTGGCTAAACTACATAATCAACAGGTAAGCAAGGGCTATGTTCAGGTGTATCCGAGAGTGGACGTTGTATGCGATATAAAATCTCGCGATGGTCGAAAATTTTTATATTAGGTATATGAGGCTCAGGGAAGCATTCACCCGATTAACCAATTTTAGATACACAGATATACTATAAATGTGAGTGGATTTTGTCTGAAAAGCCACCATCATCATGTGATGATGATATGGAGTCCACAAATTGGTTACCTATCGGCTTGAACAGTTTTGGTTGGATTTAGACAATTTTTGGTCATACATAGGTGGTATTGTGCAAAATTGTATCCCGTTATATTAATTGTTTATTGATTTGTATACTACTGTGAAATAATCAAACGATATTTAAAATTTTGTTATATGGGAATTAGCCGTCGTTATAGCCCGTTTTCGCTCAAGTACTGAAGTATAGGAATTTTAGAGTTATATCATAATTTGGCTGAATATGGTAGAATAGATCCTCAGTTAAGTGATTTCACCTAAATATGGACTCCTCGTCGTTAATATAGAGCCTTCTTGTAGATTTTAAAAAGAGGGTTTGAAATTTGAAAATTGCGTTTACGACAGCAGACATACTTCTTAAACTGAATAATATACTACAAACATATATGTTGGTGTAAATATGTAAGCCCATGCTATTTATTAAATATATTAAATGCAATGTGTTAATATTATATCACAAGAATAAGCTTAACTAATAATTCATAAACCATGCACCTGGAAAATGTTTCTGAAAATATAATACGAACACACATACATAAACCACTGAAACACACAAAATTCGATGCGGCTAAATAACGGTAAGCCGATTCAGATTTAATCGCGAATCAATAAAGTTTTGGGTACCTATAACGCGCAACATCACTAAGAAAATAACGGCATAATTAAATAATAAAAAAAAATAAAAAATAAAACAAAAACCGAAAAATTAAGAAAGCAAAGCTCCTAGACAAATCAATGAATTTTAGTTTAAATTTAGAGAAGAAATCAAAGTAAATAAAAAAGAGCCAAGAAGAATTTCAGAAATGAAAAACAATTTGCATACCTCTTATGTTACGCGTAAATATTGGCGTGGTGCCAAATTTAGTTGTCGGTACATCGTAAACAGCCACAAGGCAGCTTGTTTCCACTTCTCCATTGCGATTGGTGGCCACGCATCGGTAAACGCCCGCATCGCCAGCGTCAACTGCTTTGATTTCCAAACAAGATAGCCCATCGTTGAAGGTTTTATGGTATTTGTTGTCGTTCTCTATGAATGTTTTATCCCTATACCAGTCGATTTTCAGTTCAGCACCGGAAACACTGCACGTAAGCTTAATATCGCTTCCCACTGGTGAGTTTCTATTGGTCAGTTTTAGGTCAACATTTGGCGCACGTCTAGCGCTACGTGATTCCCATTTATCCTTATATTCCGCATTGCGGAAATTATCTACTTGCGATTTTGATTGATCAACCTGCTTCATGGCGGCATCAGCCACTTCCTTTCTGAGACGTCTATCTGGTGTTGAGGATATTGCCATATCTGTTACATCTAAGGTCTTCTCGACAGACTCTGCGTGTGTTTTTAAAACCAATTTTTCTTCAGATTTTTTTACTTCATCACTCTTTTCATTTACTATCTTCGGTTTGTTGATTTTCTGATTCATTTTGTCAGAAGACTTCGTAAGTGGTGCTTCAATCCGGTCTTTGTTTTCATCAACTAGCTTGAGATCTTCATTGTTCTTTGCCTTTTCTTTGTCTAATTGTTCATCTATATTTTTAATTTCTTCAGAAAGTTGATCAGCAGACTCTTTAGAAGGTTCTGATACTTTAGCAAGAACCTTGAGTTCCTTAGAATATTCATAATTATCTTTCTTTTCGTCGTCTGGGCTCTTCTTTCTCATCAATTTCTTTAGTTTTTCATCTGATTTGTTATCAATAATCTCTGGTATATCAGACTTCTCCTCTCCCTTCGCCGTCACTTCACTATCTTGTTTTTTCTCGTCTTTTTCTTCAACAGGTACTGAATTTTCAGTATCAACTTTGACTTCTTCATACTTTTTATCGTAAACTCCTTTCTGAAAGACCTGAAATTCCTTAGACTTTTTGTCGTGATCTTTCTTTTCATCGTCCGAACTTTTCTTTCTCCTTTGTTTCTTGGGTTTTTCATCTGTCTGTTTATTATCTTTCTCAGCAATTTTTTTACCAGACTCTGATTTGCTGTCAACAACTTCGAGTTGTTCGGATTTTAGCACTTCCTCCCCCGTCAATTCATTTATATCTTTTTCCTTTGTGTCTTTTGTTTTTTCTTCGCTTTTCATCTTCTTTGCTGTTCTTTGGTTTTCTTCTCCCTTTTTGGTTTCTTCAGACTCTTGTCTTTTGTCAACAGTTTTTGGATCCTTAGATTTTTGTTTGATATATTTTATATCATCGGCATCTTCCTTTGTATTTTTTTCATTCGGTTTGACTTTAGAATTCATCTTTTCATCCTTTACCCCATTAGTTTCTTCAGCAAGGTTTGAAGAAGGCTTTTCCGTAGGTTCTTTTTTTTCATCGTTATCTTTCTTTTTCTCGTCAGCATCAATATCTTTCCTCTCTTTGTCTTTTGGTTTTTCTTCTAAGGGCTTAATTTCCTCCAAAGGCTTCTCTGTAGGTGTTTCCGCAGACTGTGACTCTTTCTCTTTAACTTGGAGATCTGCAGAAATTTGCTCTTTACCCTTTTTATTTTCCGCTATTAATTTCTCTTCTAACTGTTTTACTTCCTCACAATTCTTTTCAACCGTTTTTTTTTCGGGCTCAGGTTCTTTTTGGACAATCTTGAGATCCATTGTTTGTTTGTCATCATTCATATGGTGTTTGTCCACGCTCTTCTTTCTCCTTTCTATTTTTGATTTTTCTTCTGTTTCTTTAATTTTCTTAGTAGTTTGCTCAAGTTTTTCAGTAGCCTCAATCTTTGTATCAACAACTTCAAGTTCTCCGACATCTTTTTCATCGTTATTTTTCTGTTTGTCTATTTTCGTCTTTTCCTTTTCCTTTTTAATTTTTTCTTCTGCATCTTTAACTCCTTCAATAGGTACTGCAATGCGTTCTTCAACTTTGAGTTCTTGATATGCTCTCGAGTCATCTATTTTCTCATCATCCACAACTTCCTTCTTCGACTCCTCGTCGTTTGGTTTTTCTTCTGTCTGTTTAATTTGGCCAAAAGACTTCTCAGTAGTTCTTACCGTAGTCTCTAACTTATCGTTAGCCACACCAAGAATTCCAGAATTTTTATCACCTCCTTTTTTCTTTTCTTCAATTGGTTTTTCTTCTATTTTTTTAACATTTTCAGAAAATGTGTCAATACATGTATCTGACAGTTCTCGTTTCTCGATATCTTTTGACTGTATTTCATCTAATTCTTTAGTTTCTTCAGAAGCCTTCTTCTGGGGTAAATTTACGGGGTCTGCTTTTTTGACCATAACGTTGGACTTCTCGTCTATATTCTTCTTTTCTTCAACCATGTGTTTTTCGGGCGACTCCTTCACATCCCTCATCTGTTCGTCTGTGATCTCTCGTTCACTTTCCTTTTTAGGTTTATCTCCACTTTGTTGAATTTCATCGGAAGACTTCTCCTTCTCTTTCATTTCTTCAGATATTTTTTCTTTTCTCACACTCTTCGTTTTCTTTATAATATTTGACTCCTCTTCTTTCTTCAATATCTCTTCAGGTAGCTTTTCAGTTGGTTTTTCGATAGACTTTATCTTTGGACAGTCCACAATAGCCTCTGTTTTCTCTTCTTTTGATTTTTCTTCATTCTTGTCGGTCATTTCTTGGACAGAATCAATATCTTTATTTGTACCTTTTAAATTTGCAATTTTTTCACAAAAACTTTGGATCTCTTGACAAAGTTGAACAGTATCTTTCAGAATTTTTTGGGAATTAATCACATCTACACACTTATCAATTACGTTGTACTCGTTTAATGCTAAATCTTTAATCTTTTCAAAATATTTATTCAGTGTCACATCTTTAACGGCCTGTAGGTCATCACAAAGAATGAAAATGTCCATTAGATTCTTTTGGAGAGTAACAACTTTCTCCTTCGATTTTGGAACAGTATTCGTTTTCTTTATATATTCCGCACATGAAACAATGCTTTCAAGAGTTGAGTTTGATGATGACAACTTCGATCGGAAATGATAGTCCTCTATACTATTAACTTTGATAGATGTACTCTCGACATATTCGACAATCTGGTTAAAGTATTGCAGCAAATCCTTATTTACCGGGGCTTTGGCTTCAGTCTTCAAAGCCTTTGTTGACTCTTCTTTGATTTTGTCGTCAGCTATTATATCGGGTTCTATTTCAGCTGTTGGTTTTGGCTCTCTTTCAAATATCAAACCTTCCGTAGTGGAAACTTCAAATCTTTCTATACTTTCTTCATCTGTTTCTTTGCGAAGCTCAGAGAACATTTTCAACATTTTCGTAACCAAATCCGATGTTTTTTGCAAAATGTCTTCAGAATTTATGTGATTTTGACTCGTTTCTATGAAATCATATACAGCTAAGGCATTCACTTTAATATCTTCGGTTTTACATTTTATATCCTTGACTCTTAATTCATGTAAATCATCAAATGTTACAAAAATATTCATTAAAACATTTTGCAGAGTTACTATATCTTTTGAAGATTTTTCAACATGCTCAATACTTTTAATCGTTTGTGAAACTTTAACAAAGTTTCCAAGGTTAGGTTTGAGAGATGTCAGTCCGCTGATAAGTAACGGATGAATTGCCACTTCAGTTTGTTCTTCTAAACTCTTAACATTTCGGGTAATATTCTTAAAAAGTTCTTCCAGTTTGAAATATACAATGTTCTTCACGTCACCGGCAATAGATTTCTTATCACCTTCCGCGACCGCAATGTTTTCTTCCAGCTTCAAATTTTGAGGTTTATTCGTGGAAACTTCTATCATCGACTTTTCTTCCAATTTTGCTTCTGACTTTTCGTCAGTTTGTTTCTTCTTTACCTCCTTTTGTTTATTTTCTAAACTATAATTTTTAGAAAGCTCATCATCTTCGGCCTGCTTTTCTTGTGGTTTCTCATCATGTGGTTCTTTTCGGGATGCAACTACTGCAGGCAAAGATTTGTCCATGTCGGACTCTGTTGTGTGCTTGAGTAGTAATTCAGTAGTAAAATTTTGGTCTGTCGGTTCAATCCCCAAAGTCACACCTACTTCTTTTTCGGCTTCCTCTTCAAGTTTCATCTCGGATATTTTTTCTTTCATCGACAACTTCGTTTCAGATTGTTCATCTATTGCAATCTTTTTATCAATCGTTGCCTCTGTGGATTCTTCTCGATCGATCTTTATTTCAGTACCACGTACTGTCTCCAGAATATTTTCTGTCAACTTTTCGTTATTTTGTTGAAGCGCTGTCTGTAGTGCATTGGCTACTTCTAGGATACTATTAGATAATTTATTTAAATGTGTTAACGCCCTTTCAGATTCAACATATTTTGTTGCGCTTTCAATATTATCGTATAATTGCAAGGCGGTCGTTTTCACTGCCTCCAGATTTGTCTTCAAATCTTTTGTTGCTATTTCGTGAAGATCATCAAATATAACGAAGGTGTCCATTAATGACTTTTGAAGGGTAACAATTCTCTCTGCTGATTTTTCAAGGGAAGCTACGGATTTCAAACACTCTGCAACCAAAACAAACGTGCGCAATGTGGGTATAACTGGGACTATTTTGCTGAAAGATGCCTGCAGTTGTGGTGTGGCAATTATAAATGAAACATTATCAAAATTGCTGGCAATATTTTCGAAATATTTCTGCAAGTTTTTACTCAGCTCCTCTGAGAGTGTAAGTTCATGTTGTTCAACAATTTCTTTCTGTACTTCCTGTACCTCAGACACTTCAACTTTGCTTTTCTTGATAGCAAGCATTTCTTCAGTATCTGGTGCTGGTTTTGTTTCAGTACTATCTCCCTTATTATTTGCTATGCTTTCTTGCAAAATCTGGTCTTTACCGTCAAGTTCTTTTAAAACTGCTTTCTTAAGATCTAGTTTTGCTTCCTCTTGCTTTTCATTTGAAAGTTTTTCATGAGATACGTCTTCAGCAATCTTAGTTTCAATTACATCTCCTATTTTATGCTTTGTATTCTCCTCCTTTACTATGTCTTGGCAAACATTTAAAAGTACTCTTATTAAACTAGAAATACTAATTAATACATTCTCAGAGTCCAGTACACCAGTGCTCTTCTCGATCTTTTCATATTCACTAAGTGCCAAGTTTTTAACTTCTTCCATTTTATTTTTTATCTCTCCAATTACATATTGTTGTAAATCATCAAATGTAATGAAAAGATTCATTAGAACTTTCTGAAGTGTAACCATTTTCTCAGATGACTTCTCCACATTATTCATCATCTTAACTGCGTCGGAAATTGTTGTAATAGTTTCCAAATCTTTATCGATCAGTGGTATTTTTTTGAGAAAAACGGAATGTGTATCTTCTGCAAAGAGCTGACGAATTATGTACACATTTTCAACAATATTCGCACAATAGCCTGACAAATTAGGATTAAAGGGCTCTTCAAGTACTGCAACTTCCTGTTCAACCATTACTGGCTGAATTAAATCTTTATTAACTTTAGTTTCAGTACTATCTTTAATGAACTTTTCATCAATAGTCTTATCGTCGACTGGTTTTTTCACATTTTCATCAAATAATGTAGATGCAGTTTCCGACAAGATTTCGAAATCAGACTTTCTTGCTACTTCAATTTTAACGGATCCTGAAGATTCAGTAATTTCGGTTGCTTCAGGTGCTTTAGAAGATACAACTTCAGCTGCCTTAACTGTAGGTGTAGGTTCTACAGAAACTATTGGTACAGGGGCCTTAGCTTCCTCTGCTTCTGGCTTTGCGGATTTTGAAGTTTCAGTCATTTCAGTTGTCTTAGGCTCTTTAAAAGAATAGTCTTGTTGAGGTGAAGGTTTTTCGGAAATTGCTGATACAGGAGCCTTACCTTCCATTTCTGCTTCTGGTTTAACAGATTCTACTGCCTCAGTCAGTTCAGTCGGCTCAGACTCCATAGAAGATGCTTCTTGTTTAACAGATTCAGGAGTTTCAATCCTTTTCGTCCCCTTAGACTCCCTAAGACTAGCTTCTTGTTTAGACATTTCAGCTTCCATAACTGTAAGTGAAGGTTCTTCAGAAGCCTTAGCTTCCATTTCAGCTTCTGGTTTAAAAGATTTTACTGTTTCAGTCAATTCAATCGCTTCAGGTTCCTTAGAAGATAACTCTAGTTGAGGCTTTTCAGTCTGCATAACTTTAGTTGTAGGTTTTTCAGAAGTTGCTGGTACAGAGACCTTATCTTGCACTTCTGCTTCTGGCTTGACAAATTCTGGGGTTTCAGTCGCTTTAGGCTCTTTAGGAGGTACCTCTTGTTGCAGCATTTCAGCTTGCATAACTTTAGGTTGAGGTTCTTCAGAAACTACTGTCATAGAAGCCGTAGCTTCCACTTCTACTTCCGGTGCAATAGAGTCAGAGGTTTCAGTCCGTTTGGACGTCTCTAGTTCCTTAGAAGATATCTCTTGTAGAGGCGCGTCAGCCTGCACAACTGTAGGGGTAGGTTCTTGAGAAACTACTGGCACAGAAGCCTTAGCTTCCATTTCTGCTTCTGGATTAACAAATTCTTGGATTTCAGTCACTTTAATCCTCTTAGGAGGTACTTCTTGTTGCGGTACTTCAGCTTGCATAACTTTAGGTTGAGGTTCTTCAGAAACTACTGGTGCAGAAGCTTTAGCTTCCATTTCTGCTTCTGGAGTAACAAGTTCTTGGGTTTCAGCCGCCATAGGTTCCTTAGGAGGTACCTCTTGTTGCAGTGTTTCAGCTTGTATAGCAGGAGTCTCAGCTTCCACTTCTGCTTCCGGTGTAATAGACTCTGAGATTTCAGTCAGTTTGTTCGTCTCTGGTTCCTTAGAAGATACCTCTTGTAGAGGCGCGTTAGACTGCAAAACTGTTGGTATATGTTCTTCAGAAACTACCGGCACAGAAGCCTTAGCTTCCATTTCTGCTTCTGGATTAACAAATTCTAGGACATCGGTCACTTTAGTCCTCTTAGGAGGTACCTCTTGTTGCGGTACTTCAGCTTGCATAACTTTAGGTTGAGGTTCTTTAGAAACTACTGGTATGGGAGCTGTAGCTTCCACTTCTGCTTCCGGTGTAACAGATTCTGAGGTGTCAGTCTGTTTGGGTGTCTTTAGTTCCTTAGAAGATACCTCTTGTAGAGGCGCGTCAGCCTGCACAACTGTAGGGGTAGGTTCTTGAGAAACTACTGGCACAGAAGCCTTAGCTTCCATTTCTGCTTCTGGCTTGACAAATTCTTGGATTTCAGTCACTTTAGTCTCCTTAGGAGGTACCTCTTCTTGCGGAACTTCAGCTTGCATAACTTTAGGTTGAGGTTCTTCAGAAACTACTGGTATGGGAGCTGTAGCTTCCACTTCTGCTTCCGGTGTAACAGATTCTGAGGTGTCAGTCAGTTTGGGTGTCTCTAGTTCCTTAGAAGACACCTCTTGTAGAGGCGCGTCAGCCTGCAAAACTGTTGGTACAGGTTCTTCAGAAACTACTGGCACAGAAGCCTTAGCTTCCATTTCTGCTTCGGGATTAACAAATTCTTGGATTTCAGTCACTTTAGTCCTCTTAGGAGGTACTTCTTGTTGCGGTACTTCAGCTTGCATAACTTTAAGTTGAGGTTCTTCAGCAACTACTGGTACAGAAGCCCTAGCTTCCATTTCTGCTTCTGGAGTATCAAGTTCTTGGGTTTCAGTCGTTATAGGCTCCTTAGGAGGAACCTCTTGTTGCGGTGTTTCAGCTGGCATAACAGGAGTCTCAGCTTCCGCTTCTGCTTCCGGTGTAATAGACTCTGAGGTTTCAGTCAGTTTGGACGTCTCTGGTTCCTTAGAAGATACCTCTTGCAGAGGCATGTCAGCCTGCAAAATTGTTGGTATAGGTTCTTCAGAAACTACTGGTACAGAAGCCTTATCTTCCATTTCTACTTCTGGAATAACAAATTCTTCGGTTTCAGTCGCTATAAGCTCCTTAGGAGGTACCTCTTGTTGCAGCACTTCAGCTTGCATAACTTTAGGTTGAGGTTCTTCATAAACTACTGGTATGGGAGCTGTAGCTTCCACTTCTGCTTCCGGTGTAACAGATTCTGATGTTTCAGTAAATTCGGTCATCCCTGGTTCCTTCGAAGATACCTCTTGTAGAAGCACGCCAGCTTGCATAACGGGGTTTTCTTCGGAAACTACTGGTACTTGTGCCTTAGCTTCAAGTTCTACTTCTGGATTAACAAATTGTAGGGTTTCAGTCGCTTTAGGCTCCTTAGGAATTACCACTTGTTGTGGCACTTCAAATTGCATAACTTCAGGTTGAGGTTCTTCAGAAACTATTGCTACAGTAGCCTTAGCTTCCACTTCTGCTTCCGCTGTAACAGATTTTGGGGTTTCAGTCAATTCGGTCGCCTCTGGCTCCTTTAAAGTTAAATTTTGTTCAGCCACTTCAACTTGCACAACTGTAGGGGTAGGTTCTTGAGAAACTACTGGTACAGGTGCTTTGGCTTCCATTTCTGCTTCCGGTGTAACAGATTTTGTAATTTCAGTAATTTCAGTCACCTCAGTCTCCTGAGAAGAGACCTCTTGTAGAGGCACGCCAACTTCCATAACTGTTGATTTAGATTCTTCAAAAAATTCTGATATAGGAGTTTTAGCATCCACTTTTACTTCAGGTTCGACAGATTGTGGAGTTTCAGTCGTTTCAGACTCCGTAGAGGATACCTCTCGTTGAGGTACTTCAGCTTGCACAATTGTAAGTGTAGGTACCTCATAAATTACTGATTCAGGAGTCTTAGCTTTCGCTTTTGCTTGTGGCTTAAGGGTTTCTAGGGTTTCAGTCATTTTATTCGTCTCAGGCTCTTTCGAAAAATCGTCTTGTTGAGGTGAAGGTCTTTCAGAAATTACTGATATAGGAGCCTCAGCTTCCGCTTCTGCATCTGGTTTGACAGATTCTGACGTTTCAGTCATTTCGGTTGCCTTAGGCTCCTTAAAAGATACTACTTGTTGTGGCACTTCAGATTGCATAACTTCAAGCTTCTTAGCTTCCCCTTCTGCTTCCGATGTAACCGATTTCGGGGTTTCAGTCAGTTCGGTCGCCTCAGTGTCCTTAGAAGAGATCTCTTGTAGAGGCACGTCGACTTGCATAACTGTTGGCTTAGATTCTTCAGAAATTTCTGATACAGGAGTCTTAGCTTCCACTTCTGGTTCAGGTTCGACAGATTGTGGAGCTTGTTCAACTACTTCTTCTAGTTTAACAGATGCGGAGGTTTCATTCAGTTCCATCGCTTTAGGCTCCTTAGAAGATACCATAGCTTCAATAACTGTAATTGCAAGTGCTTCTGAAGGTACTGAAGCAACAACCACTTCAGCTTTTTGTTTAATGGATTCTGCAGTTTCAGTCAGTTCAGTCGCCTCAGACTCCTTAGAAGCCATCCATTGTCGAGGCTCTTCAACATTTACAACTGTATATATAGGTTTTTCTGGAATAATTAGTGCAGGAGCATTTGTTTGCACTTCTAGGTCTGGTTTAATAGTCTCTGCAGTTCCAGTCAATTCAATCGCCTCAGGCTCTTTAGAAGCTATCTCTGTTTCTGACGCTTCAGCCTCTAGAATTAGAGATCTCGCAAGTTCAGAGGCTTCGGCAGAGTCTGTAACTAATGCTACGACTTTAGATATAACTGATTCGATTTCACAGGGCTCTTGCATTATTTTCTCATTTTCATCTGGTTTCGGGAAAACCTCCTTTACTTCAGCATCTTCGACTTTTGAAACAGGGCTCCCTGTTTCCGTTTGTTTTGACGGAAGATAATCCGCTATTTGTAACTTAATGCATAGTTCAAGCAGATTATTAGTTAATAAATAAGTGTCCAAAAGAATTTTAGGCAATTGTGCAGCTTCTTCCTTATTATTTATATAATCAATCCCGTTTAGTGCAATATTTTTGGCTTTCTCAATATTAAAGTTCTCATCTCCACTTTTGATTTTATGGAGTTCATCTAAAAATATAACGGTGTCCATTAGAGATTTTTTTAATGTATCTAGTTTCTTTCCGAATTTACTTCTAGATTTCAATTTCATGATTTCTTCAATAGTGATGGTTATACTTTCTATGTAAGGATTTAGTGTGCTTACTTTATTTCGTAACTCGAAATTCTCAATTTTAATAATATTCTCATGTATATGTTTTTTATTATCTTTTATGTTGGCATAATATTCTTCAGTCAATTTTCGCGTGACTTCAGGATTTTTAGCAAGCAATTTATCAATGATCTCTTCTAACTGTTTTTTGGTTTCGTTCGAGGAAAGCGGACCGTCCTCATAAGTGTGGACAATGTGTTCCCTCATTTTGAATATAAGTTTTGAAAAACGTTCATCTGTTGGGTTCTTAAGTGCCTCTTTAATTTCACCTTCGGTGTCTTTCCATTTTTCATTTTCGACAATAACCGCCAGAACATTTTTAATTTCTTGTACCATATAATCTTCGTCACGCATTGATTCATCTTCTTCTCTAAAGTCTGCAAGAGTACTAGTTTCCGATTCTTGAGATATATATTTTAACTCTTCCAACAATAAAACAAAGAACTCTTTCGTCATCTCAAGCTCCTGCAGAATCTCTACAACATGAGTAATGAGGCCTTCGTCTATAGCTTTGCATATACGATCTAAGCCTTCTTTTTGTTCTAATAGTGGTGAATTTTGGGTTTTGGTGAATACTAATCCAAATGAGTTTCGCAAATCGAATATAGCCGATTTAAGATTTTGATAAGATCGTGAGCCAGTATCCATATTTGGTGCATTTTGCTTCTTAATAACAGCAACTTCAGAAGAAATTCGTTGGAGCGCACTAGATGTCGCACATAATTCTTTATCGTTAGGAAATACTTGTGCTATGAAAGATATAATACTACCGATATATGGTAGAGTAGCCTCAGTAATGTCAGAGATCATTGCGCTTCGGAGTCCCTGATGCCCGTTTAATATTTCCAGCGACACTTTATTGGAATTTTGTATGACTTGACGCATCTCTATGCTCTTCGTAATATCATCAATAGGTGATTTCTTAATAAACGCAATCAAATCTTTCAACTTGAATAGTGGAAGGAAAATGTGGTCTTCGATTGTACTTGACGGATGTGTTTGTATCAAATTCTTCATCTCACTTAAAGTTATTTCAACAGACCTGAAAATTTCCGTTGTAGCTTTGCTCAACTGTTGTCTATTCAAATTCCTTGTTAGCTCAATTGTGACATCAATGAGTTCTTCAGTTTTTTGTAAGTATGGTTCAGTTGGTAGAGAATTCTCTGAACCTAATTCTTCGTTCTTCTTAGTGATAGTTGCTGTAGCAGTTTCAGTTTCTTGTGGTGCTTGACTAATAATTGCCGATTCAGAGCTTTGGGTCGATTCTTTGGGTATAATTTTCTCTTCAGCTTCTTTTACAACGGTTTGAGTTTGTTCTGCGATTACTGCTTCTTGTTGCTTATACTTCTTGCTTTCCAAACCACCAATAACGTTCTTTTTCATCTCGTCGTCAATAGTCTCTGTAGCTTCCTTTACCTCACTTTGTGAAGAAACAGTTTCATTATTTATAGCAACTAATTTAGCATGTAAGTTTTTCAAGTGAAGTCGAAGGGTATCGACCAATGCACGTTCTTCTGCTGACGGATTTTTGGAATGGATTTTTGGAAGAATTTCAGTTTCGATGCGCACTAAAGCGTCACGAACTCTTTGAATGTCCAAGCTATTTTCTGCGGACAGTCTGACGAATACAGAATTTTTAGATTTTAATCCTACATCAATGCTTGCTATAAAATCCTTTCCCGAAGTTAAGCTCAAAGTAAGTGTTTCTAAAAAGGCTTGCTTTCCTTTATCGCTTTTTTCTGCATTAATTTGATTGACTATGGAGTTTAGTTGCGGCATAAGAGAGGCGAGTTCCTGAGTGAGTTCTATTACTCTCAATGTGTTTTCGCTCGTACTGATAAATTCCGAGATAGAAATAACAGAATTTTGCAATTTAAGAATATTTTTACGTTCGTCAAGCTCTATTTTTTCATTAATCTGATCAACTGCTCTAAAGACTGCCATCAAATGTGATTGTAAGTTAGCCACAACCATTGTAGACTTCTCGACCTCTATCAACTGGAGTTTAGTAATAGCCTTGGTGCTATTTAAAACCAGCTCGAGAGGTTCGATTAGTTTACGCAATTCTACTAAACTTTCTGATTTGTTACATATTGAACTAAACTCCAAAATGGCAGACTCCATTTTGGTACACATCTCTTGAGCCAATTGAATTTCTAAGATTGGCGTAGTTTGTAACAATTCGGCAAAAGCTGTTTCAATATGTTCTAGCGATTGATCCAGCTCGGCTTCATAGGTATGGACAAGACAGTCTTTTAATTTAAACATCACTTTGGCGACATTTTTTTGACTCTCCGCCGTATGTTGCTGCTCGGATGCTGTAGAAAGTTCGTTTTGCATGTTTTCTAGTTCATTTCCGAGTTCTATTATGACAGCGAATACTTCGCGCAGTTCTGGAGCATTTACTTGTTTCATATCAGCTGCACAAGCTTCGAGTTGCTTAATGCTATTTGAAATGCTTTCATTGACATCCAGGAACTTCACGTTTTCTTGTGCAACTACAGCTGGTAGCTCAAGTTTCGCTTCTACAGATTGTGACTCAATGCAAGACTTTAGTGCGGAAATGTCAGCTTGTGTAGACATATCCACAACGTTCTCCACTCCGCTCATGTCGACCTGCTCACAATATTGCAAAAGATGGTATACGACGTCGATCTTTTCTCTCACTACTTTTAAGGGCACGCATTCTTCTAGCGTTGATAGTGGTGTTTCCTCTTGAATTTGTAGTAAAGCTTCTCTTATATCCAAAACCGGTTTTGCGAATCTTTTCAACATTTCGATGTTTTCCTGTGTAGAAATGTTATCCGCTTGAGACAAGTGCACCTGCTCCACATTCAATAATGACAGATTTTGCAACTCTTGTATAGGCTGGATAAACTGCTTAAGTTGTTCGAGTGATTCGTCCTCTGCTAAAGACTGCAGTGTCTCCAATGCATGACTCTCTTTGATGGATAAGACAAACGGTTGAATATCCTGCAAGACTTGAGCGCTGGTTAATTTCATGCTTAGCGTTGGCAAACTTAAAACTTGCTCTAGCTCCTCATTTTGGAAAATTTTAATGCACTCACGAACATCGTGAAGAGGTTGCGCCAAAGTGTTTAGTTCGAATATTTCAGTTTCGCTCAAATCTTGCAGATAACTCTGAGCAATACATTCTTCGACTTGCACTACACATGCTTCCAAATTACACACAGCATCTGCAAACGTTTTGCAAGCACTAGCTTCGGAGAGGGATAGGAGAGGTGGCTCATTGACAGAAGGGTGACCAACATCAGCAAAACATTCATGAATTTTTTCCAATTTCAATAAACTTGCCTTAACCTGTTCCGTAGATTCCAGTTCTTGGAAGTTAACCAGAACCTCTGAGCCATATTTTAACACTGAGACGATACTACTTTTGAGTTGTGACAACAAGACATCGACCTTACCTACATCAGCTGACGATGATGGAATATTCTCATCGTGAGAGCGCAATGGAGAGCCAAGTAATGACTCGATTGCCGAAACGTCTTCCAAAGTGGAAAAATCCTCATCCGCGGGTAATGACGTTTCGCGTTGCTGCAATGCACCATATAGCCTTTCTTCCTCAGAAAGTGTTTTCGATGTAAGAGACGTTTCGGATAATATCTTTTGTTTATCATCGCCATGACTATCCTTCGAAACAATAGGTAAAGTCTGGAGTTTAGCGAAACTGTCTTGAAGAGATTTCAGATGCACTCCGAGTACGTCGACTAGTGTGCTATCCTCAGGGGTTGGAATATGTAACTCCAGCTTTGGTATAATTTCGTTTTCTATACGTAAAAGAGCTGCTTCTACACTGCGTATGTCCAGTTCATTCTCCTCCGCTAATTTATAATAGAATGGATTATTGGCATTTAAGCCTTCCTCAATGCTTTGTAGAAAGGCTTTTCCTGATGAAACGCGTTGAGTGAGTGCTTCAAGTAGCTCTTGTTTGTTTTTCTGCTCTTTATCTAATACAATACTGTCGTAAATTGAACTAAGATTCGGCGTCAAACTGTCGATTTCCTGAAGGAGCTCAATTGTGCGAAGTTGTTCACTGGCGTCCACTATGAATTCATGTGTGGCAAGCACAGCGTCTTGTGCCCTTAAAGCAGCTTCACGCTCTTGCCCGCTTAATGAGTCACCGACTTCGTTTAGCACTCTAAATGCTGACATTAAATGCGTTTGAAGATTGGCCACAACCAATGAGGATTTCTCGATGTCAATAGATTTCAACTCACTTATTGATTTTAGAGTCTTCATAATATTATTAATAGGGTCCACTAATTTTTGTAAATTAGTGGGAGCATCTGGGCGTAAGCATGTGGCTTTAAATGCGCACAGAGATGTATCAATTTTTGCAAACATCTCTTGGGCCAGATGTATTTCCAAAGTCGGCAGTGCTTGTAAGATATCTTCGAACGTTTTTTCAAACTCGTCTAAAGACTTTCCTACATCCGTTTCATAGGTATGCACCAGGCATTCCTTTAGTTTAAACATAGCTTTAGCCACTCTTTGATTGACTTTAACGGTATTTTGCTGTGTTATTGGTTTGGACAACTCATTTTGCATATTTTCCAATTCATTTTTAAGTTCCTTCATAACTTCACCAATATCTTGCAATTCGGGCTCTTTATTTGTGTCAGTCGAAGTCAAGCAAACTTGGATCTGTTTGATGCCACCCGCAATACATTCCTTGACGTCCAGATACTTTACACTTTCTTCTGCAACTTTTGCTGTTGGTTCCAATTCGATCTCAACAGACTTCAGCTCTGCATACGACTTCAATGCGGAGACGTCAGCCTGTGTGGACATATCAGTTATATTTTCCAATGCATTAAGGCTAGCATGTTCACAGTATTCTAGGAGGTTATATATGGCATCGGCTTTTTGTCTAACCACTTGCAATGCTGGACATTCTTCGATTGGGGATTGTGGGGTTTCACCTTGTACATGCAGTAAGGCTTCCCTGATATCCAAAATAGGCTTGGCGCACTTCTCCAGTACTGCAATACTCACCTCAGATGGGAAATCTTCAATTTGAGACAAATGCACCTGATGAATTGTCGAAAGCACTGCATTTTCCAATTCTTGTATGGGTTGTATAAACTGTTGCAACTGTGCTAAAGACTCATCTGCAGCCAATGACTGTAGAGTCTCAAGTGCATTACTCTCTTTTATAGAAAGCACAAAGGGATGTATGTCTTGTAAAACATGAGCACTTGTCATCGATAAGCTCGCTGTTGGCAAACTAATCACTTGCTCCAATTCTTCATTATGGAATACTTTTATGCATTCTTTAAGATCTTGTAAGGGTAGAGCCAATGTTTTCAAGTCGGAGACAGAGTTTTCACTTAGCTCTTGCAAATCATGTTGGGCAAGACACTCCTCGACTTGCACCACACATGTTTCCAAATGGCACACAGCATCGGCGAAAGTTTTACGATTACTAATGTCAGAGTGTGTATGCAATGTTTCCACAATAATGGGTTGATGTACATCTGCAATACATTCGTTGACGTCTTCTAATTTTGACAAACATGCGTTAACCTTTTCCGCAGATTCTAGTTGCAAGGAGGCAACGTTTACTTCGGCGCAGTGCGCTAATACTGATGCAATGCTATTTTTGAGCTGAGACAATAATGTGTTCATTTTGCCCTTATTCGCCTCGAACGCTTTAAGGTGATCGGTTCCCTCTTCCGCGATAGAGTCCTGACTGTCTGCTGGCAAAGATTCAGCTGCGGATTTCATAGCGGATATGTCTTCTAGCGTTGAGCCTTCATCCTCGATCTTTCCTACTGGTTCAACTTTTGTTGGAGCCGTTATTTTTTCTTTGTCTATTTCGGTTTTTGAGTCTAATTTAGGTTTCTTTGGAGCATTATTATCAACATCTGGTTCTGCTTTCTTCTTCTCTGCTGTTTGAGTGACTGCAGTTATTGCTCGCGGTAATTTAGTAATAGACTGAAGAACAGGCACCATTTCAATCACGGACTGTACAATTGGCAGTGCTTTTAATTTAATGTGGTGCTCATTTAGGTCTGGTATATTTTCCACGACGTCTTTTATTTCTTGCAAAACTGCGCTCAGACTTTCACTTTGTGGTACTGATTGGATTTTTGGTACTTTTTCTGGTGTAATTGAAATGCGTAATACCTCAGAAACCGTCTGCAGCGGTTTAGCAATATCAGTCAGAACTTTTGTGGCAGCTTCATTTTCTTCCCTTGCGCTCTGGGACTCTTTCAATACTTCCACATCTGCCATTAAGCCAGTGAGACTTTGATCTAATTGAGATAACACCTTCTGGGTTTGGGTATCTAGGCCCGGTGTTGCTTCGATCTCTGTAAGTGTGTGTAAAAGCTCTTGTATGTTTTGTCCTGCTTCGTCTTGAGCTATTTTCATTTCCATTGCTTCACGCATGTAGATAAAAGATTTTTCTTGCTCAGCTGCAAGTTTCTCGTCAAGCTCTACTTCGTGTTGTAGCATTTTGAACTCGTGTTCTTCAATATCAATTTCCACATTTCTAATTAATTGCTGCATTTTCTCCAGGACATCTACATTTTTATCATTCTGCTTCGTCCCTGACATATGCATAATCTCTTTGCCCAAATTGACACGATCACTTAAACTGTGCAAAGGATCAATAAAGTCAGTTAACGAGCCCGAAATTGATTTGCTTTCAATTTGACGTATGCAGTAATTGAGCTCGTCAATTGGACGCTTCAAGTTTTCCAAGAGAGTCACATGGTATTTGGTAATATTATCGTCGAGTACATTGCCAATCAACGAAGACATTTCTTCCTTCAAACAAATCAAGCCCTTTTGTACATTAGGTGATAAACGTGCTGAAAGTCTCTCGATATTCGTCTCAAAGTGCAGTATCGACTGCGCAATAGTTTGAAGCAGCTTTTGAGTGTCCGCTGAGTCGAGCGCTGCTTCTTCATTGAAATGACCACGCTCCACATCTTGAGTAAGTTGTGCTAACCCATTTTGTATTTCCTGCAGTGGCGGTACCATTGATTCCACAGTGCTAACAGTCAACATACCAGCTTGCACATTGTTAGACGACTGACTTAGTATGACCTCCAAGCCCTTATTAAGTTCGAATAGAGGCGGAGTCACAATGTCCAATATAGCATTATTTACCTTTCGTTCTGTGGACTGTGTAGCGGACAGTTCAGTCTTTCGTTCTATTGTCTCCAATACCGATTGTAGTTCCTTGATTGGTTCTACGATATTTTCCAATACCTTTTTGTGCACGTTTCTGTAAATTTGTTCCTCGTTTTCTTCAAGACTCAACTCATTCTCCACTTTTTCTAAAGCGGCTTGTAAATTTACAATGGGTTGACAAATGAGCTTCAATGCATCAGCCTCGTTGGGCAATTTCGCGTCCGAAATAGTCGCAAAAGAGACTGGTTCAACTGCTGGCATAGCTTGTAATTTGGCCACCGTTTCTGAAAGGTGCTTAGCTGCCTCCAATTCCTGCGCTTCTTGTAGTAGAGCTTGTGACTTAATAGTGCCTTGTGTTATTTCTAGACCTTGTTTAATGTCATCTGCCGTTAGATCAATATGAGCACGTAAGCTAGTTGATTCGAAACACTTGGCTATGTTCTGCACTTCCCCCAAAGCCTTAATTAGCTGATCGCCTACGCTGTCTATGATGCAGACGCTAGTGCGTTGTATAAGTGTGACACCAGTTTCATCAATTTCAACACACTTCTCAATTACCTGAAGACTTCTATGCAGCTTTCGTATATCCTCTTCCATCGTTTGAAAGAGAGCATCAAGTGGAGTTTCTCCGGAATATACTCTTAGTTTGCTTTGAACCTGTTTTATTGGATCAACAATATTGCGAATAATTGCGATACTCTGCTCAGCAGAAGCTGGAGTCATCATCATGGTCGCCTGCTCGACGACTTCATTCTCAACCACGGTCAAGTGATGCTCAATCGTTTTCAAAAGTTTGGCCAGTGGCAAAAGAGCACGTAAATTTTGTTCAATCTCCTCTGCACTGGAGATGACTTTCACTGGTTTCAGAGTGATCAAACCATCGCCAACTGCCCCGGAGATGTCTTGCATTTTTGCATCATCTTCGTTTGTTTTTGATGAATCACTGTCAGTTTGTTTCTTGCCCTTTTTCCGTTTTGGTGGCTGTATATTTTCCTCTTCTTGCGCGGCATCAGGTCCAACAGCGGAATCGACACGTGATGACATTTGGGTGGCGCTAGCAAATGTTTGCAAATCAGAAGTGTCTTCATCGCCAGCTTGGCTATCAGATGCTTTAGACAAACTGTAAAACTCTTCTGTGGTTTCTGTGGGTCGTGATTTCTTACGTTTACGTATTGGTGCAGTCAGAGAGAGTTCTTCTTCCATTTTCTCGAAACTGTGTTGGGTATATTTTTCAGCCTCACGGTCGACTTCATCCTCATGTCCGGAAGATCCATGCACTGTTATCTCCGTTATGGAAATATCATCCAAACCTGCCTCGGTGCGCATATCCTCCTCATGGGAAAAGTATTCTGGTGAAATATCAATGACCACAGCTTCCATTAGAAGTTTACCCGACTGCGAAGTCTCTTTGACAAAACGCAACGGTGGCAATTCCACTACATTGTGTTCGGTAACATGCTCCGATATTTGATCGGCATACATTTCAACAATCTTTAATGCTTCCTCTTCAGTTAAATCGGGTGTCTCATACAGAGACACCGACACCTCTTTACCATCAAATGAAAAGGATACCTCACCCTTTGAGTCAATTGTTATGTCACCAACAGGAGTTTCATACAGTTGAGACGTGTGCTCTTCTTGTATAGTGGATAAGGAGAAGTTACGCTGCAACTCGTTTTCTTGAGCTTTCTCTTCCTTTTGAGTTTTGTAGGCCTCCTCGAAGCCAAGCAATGATGCTGAACTTGCCACAATGCCCATGCAGTTTCTTGCCTCACAGGTGTATGTCCCTAAACAGCAGGTTCCGTCTTGTCCAGATATAATACGATGTATATCTCCAGGTTTTAGCTCAACACCATCCTTGTACCACTTTAGCACTGGCTGTGGCACTCCAATTACTTTACACTCCAAATTAACAGCGCCTTCCTCCGTGAGCACTGCTCTAAGGCATTCCAGAAAACGTGGTTTCTTATAATGACGTGGTATCTGTAGTTTTAAGTAACTAGATGTTACACTAGTACCAAAGTCATTCACAGCAACACACTTCCATTCCGCTTGATCGACAAATTCTACAGATCTTATGTCAAAGTGCCAATTTTCGTGTTCACCACGATAATGACTATATCGTTCGCTATTCTCGATCGGCAGTTCATCACGGAACCAAGACAGTACTGGATCTGGTGTAGCCTTAACATTTACTGTAAACTGGAAACTTTCATTTATCTTAGCATCTTGGCTCTTCAGCCCAACAACAAATTTCGGTGGCTGATTTTGGTTTGCAAACAACAGCCGTTCCTCGTCGTTAAGTTGGTTTTGTATATCCTCAACGGTAAGTACAGCAACACTGCTGCTTTCACCCATACAGTTTTTAGCCACACAGCAGTAAGTACCGAGCGAATTGGTACCAGTTAGATGATAAACGTCACCGGGCTTCAGTTCCTGACCATCCTTAAACCATTTGAGTATGGGCGTGGGGAAGCCCACCACTTTGCACTCGAATGAAACCAGACCTTCTTCGGTAAGTACAGCACGCAAACTCTCCATAAAACGTGGTTTCCGATAATTTTTCGGAACTATTCTCAAAAAAATAAAAATATATATATTTTATTTAATGACTTATTAGCACACTTATACTCACTGTCCATTGTGACATTACATGTTGAAATGCCCATACAACCTTCATAGCTTGTGACTACACATTTCCATTCACCTTCGTCACAACTCTCAGAGGGTTTTGTTTCGATCATATAGACTCCTAATCCATCTTCGATTAATTTGTATCTTTCGCCAGACTCGATACGGCCATTCTTGTTATACCATACTACTGTTTTGGGCCACGGTGGCACCACAACTGGAAAGTTTAACAATGCGGTTAAAAATAGTGCAATATATGATCTTTATTCTAAAAGTAGTACTAAACTTTCCGAAACTCAGCTTTTATAAATCCAATGAAGTAATTGATAATGCGAATCGTCTCAAAAATTGGACTTTTGGACAAAACGCAGACTTCTACATGAAATATAAAATTGAAATTAAATCTCGCCACTGGAATACGAAAGGTATGAAAAAGGGACCAATCGTAACAACCGGTGTTGTTACTAATAAAACTATGAACTAAAGTCTGACTCTATGACAACCTACTGCTGGAGAAAATAATTCGAGCTGCAGAACTTAATCGAGTAGGTACAATCAATTTTATAGGAGCGTATCCGATGATATTGGCGTATCCGATGATATTGATATCATCGGCCTCAACACCCGCGCCCTCAGTTCTGCTTTCTCCAGACTGTGCAAGGAAGCAAAGGAAATGGGTCTGGCAGTGAACGAGGGCAAGACGAAATATCTCCTGTCGTCAAACAATCAGTCGTCGCACTCGCGACTTAGCTCTCACGTCATTGTTGACAGTCATAACTTTGAATACGTAGATTATTTCGTATTTTTGGGAACCAGTATAAACGCCACCAACCATGTCAGCCTGGAAATCCAAGCAGGTTAACTCTTGCCAACAGATGCTCCTTCGGACTGAGTAGGCAATTGAGAAATAAAGTCTTCTCTCGACGAATAAAAGCCAAACTCTATAAGTCACTCATAATTCCCGTCCTGCTATATGGTGCAGAGGCTTGGACGATGACAAAAACTTATGAGTTGACGTTGCGAGTTTTCGAGAGAAAAGTTCTGCGAAAGATTTATGGTCCTTTGCGCGGTGACCACGGAGAATATCGCATTCGATGGAACGATGAGCTGTACGAAATATACGACGACATTGACATAGTTCAGCAAATTAAAAGACCGCGGCTACGCTGGCTAGGTCATTTTGTCCGAATGGACGAAAATACTCCAGCTCTGAAAGGTCCGTTGGAAGGACCGGTTATAATCGCGTAAGCGGTGTCTACGCCAATTAAGAAGAAGAAAGTCACAGAGTAGCTTTTCTTTCAGCTTAGGTGAGATTTAAGGTTAAAAAAGGAGTCGGCAATTGCACTAATTTGCAGCTGAGGAATGTGTTTGAGGAAAGTTAGAACAGTTTTATTGTAATATTTTAAATAAGCAGAATTCTGCCAAATGTAAATTTATAGCGGGATCTCCAGGTGGGGACAGGTTATGGGAAAATCGAACCAGATGAATTGCATTTGATAAAACAATTGGAAATTTAATAACTGTAGTCAAAATTTAATAAAGTTATCTGTTGGATCACGTACCTAGTGTCAAGGGATTGATAGAACATATATAGAAGTTTGGAGAACGTAATGTAAAAGATTTTTTAATACTCAGAAATTTAAAAGGGTTAACAATTACACCTAAATTTGAGCGCGATACCCAATCAGTCTAATAATTTGTAGTTATATAGTTTATTCCTTAAATGTTTGTAGTTTTGGACGATGCTAAAATATACTAATAAAAGAATTCATAATAGTTTTATTGATATCAACTACATACCTCACTCAATTTCATTTTAAGGAGTTTTATGAGGAAATGCTTCACAAATGATAATGTCTTAACCAAAGCTTTCGTTACAATGCTAATCAATTAGGTAGGTAACAGGGAGGGTGGTTGATGTCTGACGACGCATCTAGGTCTTTATATGGCTCATTGTGAAACGGAACGGATCTAAAATATTTTCACTCTAGAAGGAAAGACAATATTGAGACCAAATTTATGTTCAATTCTATATAATTACGAAAATCATTGGTATTGGTCGAAACGGGAACTTGCTTAGTATTTTAAAATGCCTCTTATATGGGAGCTTGTACTTTTATAGTCTGATTTAGATAATTTTTGATCATTAGATGGCACGCTTCGAGGCATTATTCGGCAAAGTTTTATCCGTTTTCAGTTTTGATTTGTAAATACTTCAAGTAATCTTATATATATATATATATATATGTATGTATGTACATAAATATACTCTATACATACAACTCACACACTGACTGACATATTCAGCATAAGGTTTGCTAAAAACCGAGAATAATTATATGTAGTATATGGGAGTTGAGGTAGTATCAAACAGATTTTATCTATTAACTATTATCATGCCACATACTAAAAAATGTTCCTTGGGTTTTATTAAAGTACCTTACACACATCATCAATCACATGGAGAAAAGTCAGCCGGATGTTCGAAAATCCTGGTAATTTTATTTATTTTTGGCATAAAGATATGCTGTTATGAGTAAAATATGTTGCAATTTTCATTGCGATAACTCAAATATTGGCCGATATATCCAGCATAAAGTCACCTGTAAGTTCGATAATCTTTATATTAGCTATATGGAGGCTCAGTGAAGTCATAAACCAATACAAACCATTTTTGATACAAATAATAACTATTACCGGGAAAGTATTAGATCTGAATTTCAATTATATATCTCACACATTGGCCGGTATTTTGGGTCAAGTCAACTATTGATTCTGGAGTCCACATATTCCGTACCTAGGGACTTGAGCAGTTTTAGTTGGATTTGGGCAATTATTGGTCGTAGGGTGGCATACATTAAACGAATTATTATTGCAAGGTTTTATCTCGCTATGCATATAGTAACTTCTTTATTTGAGTATTTGGAAAGTGAAAAAATCAAATAGTGTTTCAAATTGAGTCACATGGGAAGTAGGCATGGTTTTAGTCCAAATCGATTAATCGAGTCCCGAGATATGTGATTTCTATAAAGCCTTTTCATACCATTTCATATGTAAATTTTAACGTCTCTTATAATATTTGAACCGGGGTAAATTTGGTTGTTGTAGCTTCGGTGGGTTAGGAGATTTAATGTACATACGTACTTATTAGAGAACCAGGCCCACTTTTTAAAAGTTTTTGTCCTCAGGAGCCTCTTGCTACTGCGACCGCCTGTGCTAAATTACAGTTATGGTACTTTACATGTTTTCGGTTAGTGGAGTTTCGTAAGGTGGCAGTGGTCCGATTTCTCCCCCTTGTACTAAGGAACCAGTATACAAAGTTTCATAAAGAATGTATATATTATACGGACGGACAGACAGTCATCTCTCGCCATCTGATCTCTTAGTTTTAGGTAGTATGTACAACCGTTAGATGAACGAAACTATTATACTCTCTAGCAATAGCTTGCAAGAGTATAAAAATATTCCGCCTAAAAGTTCTTACCTATCTTGCTTATATGGATTGACCTGCCTTCCTGCTCTTTACAATATCAATTGAAAATGAAGTGACACAAACTCTTAACAATAAAATAGTTGTAGTTGTGTCAGATTTTTGCAAATTAAAATCACGAAATTACTTAAATAATTAATTATTTTGCACTACTTTTTATAATAGTTTTTTAATATTTATGACTATTACGATTTTCAACCTAACTGCGTTGTGGTAAAAGTTTTGAAATTCGATATCAACCAGAATCAAAAAAAATTCCATTGTAGTGTTGTAGTTTTTAGTATTACGGCTTTTAACTCTGCGTTAGTGAATTTTAACTACTACGAAGAGGATGCAGTTGAACATTGCTGCGCTTATTAAAAAATGTTTAGATCAGTTATTTTGTACGACTTCACAGAAAACTGCACACATTTGTTGAGGTTCTGAAGCAAACTCCTAAAGCTGATCGAGTTAAATATACAAATTAAGGAACTGTTGGAAACGTTTCGAACATAAAGAGTTGCTACAATTTACAATCTCTAAGAATATACTTTTTGGGTAAAATTAAAATTTTACAACGTTTTCCTTCTCTTCAGTCACGGTGTTCGTAATATTTAAAACGTTTTTAACAACCATAGGTATCGTAGCGCCAGCCCAAAGTTAAAATTATTAAAAAAGTATTCTTGATAACTACCAACAGCAAGGAAACGGAGAGTTTGTGGTAATGTTTCTTCAAATAAAAAAAACGAACGATTCTGAAACAAACCTAAAAACCATTTAGTGGTCAGCAAAACTTTAGCTTATTAATTTTAAGTAATTCAATTAAATTTAAAAAAAATCAGTTTCGGCCCCAACATTTTAGTCATCGTGATAAATCAAAACTTATGTATATCCATTTTAATAATTATCCACGTTTTCGAGAGCAATAACAAAATTGAACTGTTTTTATTTCTCGTTTAAAACCTTTCAGCTATTTTATTATCTGTCAAGTCTTAACATTTTAGGTTATCAATACCAATGAAATTCCGACTGAAAATTGTTGAAATTCTTAATACCAAAAAAGAGTAGGATTTATCTGAAGTTGAATTGCTTCTATTCAACTAAATGAAGTTGAAACCCGAAATAAGGGTATATGTTAAAACTTTGGAATATAAGCTTCCTTTTATAATATGGCCTTAATAATAATAACAAAAGTTATTAAAAGTCGGGTCGTCACTCGTAATAATAAGGTTCGTTTGTAGACGAATTTGCATATAACAAAATCTAAAAATATTTGCATATAAAATGATGACTAGTTCGGACTGAAATCGGCCGTGTGAACAACACTTATGCGATCTCAAGAGTGTATTTGCTCCCGCACACCAAAAAAAACCCCCTTACAGTGTGATAATATGTTTCGTAAATATGTGTTTATTTATTTTAATTTGATTTCCTCGCCTTGTCCGTCTGATATGCGTTTGTTTTGATCGCGGCATTCGGTTTTGCAACACATGTAATTTGCACAGACACACAAGAGCAGCAATCGGCACGATCGACACGCAAAGTGGCTGACCTACCGCAACACACCGAAGAATCCAAGCATTTAATCGAGTTCAAGTTTGAACATTTCAATGCTTCTGCGAAAGGCGCGGGCGTTGCTTGCTTTGTGCAGACCACAATACTTTTACATAGTTTATGTGCATATGTATGTACATAATAAATTCTCTTGAATCGTATTTAAAAGTACAAAAGTTAGCGCTATTACGGCCATCTGTTAGTGTGTTTGTATGCCAGCGGTGACTGCGGCGTTCGTGCTTGACCGCTTAACAGCATGTCTCGTGTGCGAATGGTGAAATGGTGACGCAATTTACAGAAAAAAATCGTTTTGTTTTTGTCCACCTCGTTAGTGTTTGTTATATGTTCGGTTGTGATATTTGGCAAGTTGCCCAAACACCGCCGACAGCACAGCGTGCACGGTTCTTACCAGTGTTACTACTACTACTACTAAATCACACCTACCTTGACATCCCAGAATTATTGGCTCCCCGATGCGAACACTCATGTCGCGCAACTCGTTCGTAAATATCGGCGGAGGTGTATTGTTTGGGATGCTATGATCAGATGAGATGTCGAGCAGGTAAACGTCGATTGTGTAAAAGACGATTTGAGACAATTATTGTAGAATTAGTATGGAGTAATTTGGTTAGAGAGAGAAGAGATATCTCTCTCTGTTGAGAAGTAATTACTCTCACCTGTCAGCTGGTTTGAGCGACCCCTCCCTACTGCCACGTCCGACTACATGCACCTTCGAACTGGAGTATGATTTACCCATACAGTTGACAGCTTCGCAAGTATATGTGCCCAGTGAAGTGGGATCATCCAGATTGGCGGTCAGCGCGAATACATCACCAGCCTTGATTTCTTTGGAATCCTTAAACCAACGCAACTGCGGTGTGGGTACACCAATCACCTTGCATTCGAGCGAAACTGTGCCTTGTTGGGTGAGCACAGCACGTAGTTCCTCAATGAACTCGGGTGCCTTGTAGGCTTTAGGCACAAGTACATTCAGATGCCCAATGCACGAATTACGGCCACCCGAGTTTTCAGCCAATACCATCCACTGTCCGCCATCTTCCAATATAACAGGGCTCACTTCCAAATAGTGGAAGTTGCCCTCGTTTACTTCATTTATTCGATCGTTTTCACATATTCGTCGATCATTTCGGTACCATGTGAGCTATTAAGTGGATATGTGCATTTACGTGTATGTACATGTAAGAAAACGTCTTACCTTAACATCAGTGGAACTACGTATCTCGACTAACAATCGAGTGCGAGTTCCCACTTTCACCGACAGATCAACCAGTCGTCGTAGAAATACGGGTGGATCCTCACCCGTCGATCTGTCCTCGAGAATGAGCTCCACATCTTTGCGAATAACATCATTACCTTTCGTTCGTGCTATCAATGTATAATGACCGGCATCCTCTCGTTGCACGTGCTCCACAGCCAATTGCACAGCGGTGCTGGTCTGTGTTATTCGCAAGCGATCGGAATTCGCAATTGGCAATTCTCCACGGCTCCTGCAGAGAAAACAGATGAACGATGAGTTAGCAAACCAATAAATGTCTATTAAAATTTATGGCAACAATTAAAACGAATGTTTTTAACGGAACTATGTAGATGAGCAGGAGGGGCTGATATCAGAGATATCAGTATTTTAACTTTGCAAGAAGAAAATCTTAGCATACGGAAGATCAGTGAAAGAGTTGGATTCAAGTAGCCTGCTATCGGGGGGAAAATACTGGTGGAATATATATGTTTTATTTTTTAATACGAAACAGGCTCCAGGATGCTGATTTCAACGCTCGACGACTCGCAAAAAACAACTTTTGACTAAAGAAATACGTCAGTAACGCCTCAGTTAGGCTATAAAGCATCAAAGCTGGACTGATGTCGGTTTGCAAAAAGTAATCTTTTTTGACGATTCCAAGTTCAACCTGTTATTTAGCGATTTATTTTTTTCAAGCCTATATCTTACACATATTCTTTCATTAACAATATTAATTGTACCCATTTCTTCTAGGTAAAGCAAAAATGGTGTTTTGACGTTAGAATGGCCAGGTAACAGCCCAGATTTAAACCACATTCAGAACCGTTAGTATATTATGAACACAAAGGTCTCAAAGAAGATCCCCAGTACCTTAGCTGAGTTGGATAAAACGCAATGACGCAGCATGTTAAGGCAGTTATAGAAAGTAAAGAAGGCTCAACAAATTAGTTTAAAGATTTTTGGAGTGTCTAATATTTACTCTACCCAGTGGCGTATAGTTGGTGGCAAGTCGGCAAAATGCCACGGGCCCCCAGCCCGAAGGGGCCCCCGGTCAGAGGAAATCTCAATTCCCAATATTTATCATTACACATACACATTAGTTAAGTAAAACAAAAAAGTTTTGTCTTTAATTTATTTGGGCCTTCTTAGTTGCATACACAACTAAAAAACATATACCTAGATATTAAACATTCAATGCATTAGTAAAAAAAAATTAACCCAGTTTTAGAAAGAATGGTCAAAATCCAATTACTCGTAATAATTTCGGAAACATGTGTGGACAAACATACCTCAAAAATGTGTATATCGGTTTACATTTATATTCACTGGGCATGTCTCGCTGAGACTAGATATTCTGCCGGCATTAAAATCAGTGTTGCCGTTTTAGCGCATTTCGCGCTACATAGCGCAATTCTAGACTCTTCAGCGCTTTTTTTCTCAATATAATGCGCTAAAAAATATTTTTCGGAATCTAGTAGAAAATTGTAAAAATTATTGACTATCGTAAATTTAAGCCAATAGGTTAATTGCCAGAGCCGTAAAACGTTAGGAAAATAAGGAACTGGGAATTCCCCAAAGGATTTAGTATTCCCCGACCACAATGTTACAATTTTGTCTCTTTATTACATTAAAGTGTTATGTTATGACTATTTCTGATTTTACTAACATAGTTCAATTATAATGATACGTCATCAGTTGAAAGTTCTTAAGAAAAATTGCCACACTTTTATGTTGCCTGAACACGGTTTGAAGAAAATGACTAAAACTGTAAAAAAAGAAACGGAATCTGGTGAAGGCACACCAACCGCACCCGAACGTAATGATGACCAGAAAGATATTCAGTTATTTAATTTAGTTGATTTTGATAAATGTAATAATGGTTAAATAAATTCACATAAAAACACATCTTCTCTTATTGCCATTAAAAATTCACAGCTAAAATTTAGCGCAATTTTGAAATGAGTTTGGTGTATTTTTTCTTTCTCAAACGGCAACACTGCTTAAAATTTATGTTGGTAATACTTGCTGCTGCTTGGGGAATCCCCGATTCAAGTTTGTATATGTGACCTGGTCTACGAAAAGGGAGTTAACGTGCGAAAACTAGTTTTCTGGGAAACAGCTGTTAAAAATCTCATCTTCCATCCGAATCAACTAAAAAGTGAAAATTGATTTTTTGGATTTTTTGACACCTAAGCCCCCTTTCCGTAGACCAGGTCGCATATATGAAAAACTCCACTATTGTATTACGCAAGAACTCACCAAGCAATTAGCAGTTTATTGTTGTAAGAATTGGTTGTTTGTTGCAAGTGAGGATATATTGTGAAAATACGTTGACAATGTCTACTCGGTAAGAATTTTATTTCTAATATTTAAAATAATGTATACTATTACAATTATTTTAATTTTTAATCTACCCATAAAATTAATCATTTACATCGTCGGTAGGTATCGGTAGTAAAGTTTGAAATCACAAGTTACGAAATTATTATTTAAAATAATGATTCTCTTCGTGCATTTCAAAATCAATCACTATTTTGACATTCGTAACCACCAAAACTATTTCGGTACCTATGTTCATCGTTCGTTTAAAACTTACAAAATTTGACACTTGAATTGAACTTTGAACAATCGGTGGACTTTCGTTATAAACATTTTCACCGTCGCTTTTTTTGGCATTTGTTAGCAATTAAGTAGATTTTCAATAAATAAAAACTATAGTATTATTACAAACTTTTTGCGGTTTTGTTCTAGAAAGTATCAGAGTGGAAGCGAAAAACGAAAGCGAAAGAAGGAGTCTGAAGAACAAAATAAAAAGTTAAATAAAATAAGTCAGTACTTTAATAATCAAGATAGTATACAAGAAGAATCAAATGAACAGCGCGACGGAAAGGCAGAAAATGGTGACATAAGTGGCAATATCGCAGGGCCCGATAACAGTGAATATTTAGATTCAGAGCAACCACAACCAGGTACGAGCAAATCTTTAAATGAATCTTGTTTGGACATAGAAAAATTAAAATCTTTACCGCATGTTACTGATAAAGGTAACTTTAAAGAACTCAATGATCAAGTAAAACGATTTGTGATCGAAATCGGACACTAAACGAAAAGGCCCCTTTTTAAGGTATAGTAACAATAGATCTTTCTTAAATAAATATTATTACACTGTTTCTAAATCTGTCATAAAGTTAGAACGTACATGGCTGTCATCTTCTCTATTGCTTCAAAAAGCATATTGTGAACCATGTTGGTTATTCGCAAATAGGGCATCTATAAATATACAAAATATTTGGATGGAAGGCTATGACGATTGGAAACATATTGTGGGTCATAAAAGACATGAGACATCGAAACAACATTTGCATTCATGTTTTGCACATCGACAGTGGCAGTTAGATGGAACACTAGATGAAGAGCAGGAGTCCATTATCAAGAGAGACAAATTTTTTTGGCGCCAGGTACTCACTAGACTCCTTGATGTTACTCTGACACTTTCAACCTGTAATTTAGCTTTTCGTGGCCATAAAGAAACGGTATATGGCAACGATTCTGGTCCAAAAGGAAATTTTTGGAGTATTGTTGAGTTATTAGCCAAATACGATCCTATTTTACAAGAGTTGCTAAGCAAACCTAAGGGCCAGATTAAATACTTAAGTAAAAAAATACAAAATGAGCTCATTGCTGTTCTGGTTCAAAAAGTGGAAAATGCTCTGGTAAATGAAATAGTCACCGCACCGTTTTATTCCATTTTGTTTGATACTACTCAAGATATTTATAAAACAGATCAATTGTGGGAACTTTATTACCGTTACTGTGTAATCGAGAAAGATGAAAATGGAACTCCAAAGGCACTCGTAATTAAAGAGTCATTTTTAGGATTTCATGAGGTTAAGGATCAAATTGCCTTAGCAATGTCCAAGCAGATAATAAAATCCATAAATTTTTCTATTTCTCTGAATAAGTGCCGTGGAGAAGGGTACGATGAAGCTAATACCATGAAAGGTTCTTATGGCGGAGTTCAAAAACTCATAAGAGATATAGAGCCAAATGCAGTGTATGTCTATTGTACTGCTCATAATTTATACTTGGTAGTAAATGATGCAGTAAAAGAGGTCATAGAAATACAAACATTATTCGAAACTGTGCAACAAATTTATAATTTTTTTGACCATAGTATTAGACGATGGAATATATTATCTAGTTTTATATCTGACAACAAAAAAGGAGAAACCGTTGTATCATCACATTCAGTAACATTAAAAACAATGAATCCAACTACATGGGCAGGACGCTTTGATGCCATGTTTGCTTTAAAGGATCGATTTGTTGATTTTCACAAAGCGCTAACAAAAACCATTTTATCAAATTCCAAATCAGATGAGAGAAATGGTGCTATCTTGCTAAAGAAGAAGTTATAGAACTACAATTTTATTATGTTGCTGGTTTTCCATTGCAAAGTCTTGCAAACCATAGACGCGGCTTCTAAAGCACTTCAATCTAAAGCCATCGATCTTTCAAATGGTTCAAAGCGTTTGCAAGTCTGTCTAGAAGAACTTGAAAAGTATCGACATGAATTTGAAGATTTAAAAACGGAAGCAAATAGTATTGCAGTTAAATGGTCTATAAACCCTGAATTTCCTAAAACTCGTCAGAGAAAAGTGAAACGTCATTTTGATGAAATTTATGAGGACGAACGTCTCCAAGATCCTGAAAGCTTGTTTAAAGTGAACGTATTCTATCGTGTATTAGACATCATCATTAATGAACTTAGATCGCGTTTCCTTGGAATGAATGAAATTGTTTTCAATTTTAGTGTCTTGCAGCCTGCCACTTTGCAAAACTTGAATGATACTGATTTATTGGAAAAGGCTTTAGCATTTGTCCATTTATATAAAAAAGATATATCTATGTCGTTTTTCAAAGAAATTCTCAGTTTTCGATCCTCTTTTAAACACGAAATAGAAAGGTCATCTTCTATAAGAGAACTTGCTGACTTATTAATAATAAAGAATCATTTTATATCTTCAAGCTTTCCTGAAGTGTGCACTGCATTTCTGTTATTTCTCACCATTCCTGTAACTACGGCTAGTGCCGAGCGATCATTTTCAAAACTGAAATTGATAAAAACTTATTTAAGAAATTCTATGGGACAAGAAAGGTTAAGCAATTTGGCTATTCTAACCATCGAAAATTCTATGGCCCGAAATTTGAACTTTGATGATGTCATTAACACTTTTGCTGAACAGAAAG